ACTGCACTATACAATCAAAAAGTATATATGCAAAAAATACATGTGTCAAGCAGTTAATTAATAAAATATTATCTTTTTCATGATTCTATGATATTTATAGGAGACCTGGAAGGAAGACTGGGCAATCTACTTTCATAGAGGTACCACCTCAGAAACCCAGAGGGGTTGCTATGAGTCAGATCTGACTCAACGGCAGTGAGGTTTTTTTTGTTTGTTTTGTTTTAGTTAAAGTGCTCAATTGCCAACCATGGTTCAATTCCACTAGCCTTTCCATAAAAGAAAAATGTGGCAACAGGATTCCGTAACAGTTTACACCTTGCCAGGTGGCAGGGAGCAGCAGCAGAAAGGGCTGGCAGGAACAGGTAGGGGGAAACCCAGGAAATGAGTGGAGCAGTTGGAACAGCTAAAGGAGATGAATGGCCCTGAAACACTGTCTGATACAGGGCCAGAAGATGAGCCCCTCAGGTCGGAAGGCATTCAAAATATGACTGGGAAAGAGCTGCCTCATCAGAGTAGAGACGACCTTAAGGATATGGATAAAGTAGAGCTTTTGGGGCCTCCATTTGCTGAAGTGGCATGACCCCATGTAACAAGAAACAGCTGAAACCATCCACTGATAATCGGAACATGGAATGTATGTAATATGAATCGAGGAAAAAATGGAAATTGTCAAAAATGAAATGGAATGCATAAAGATTGATATCCTAGGCATTACTGAGCTGAAATGGACCAGTTTGGGCCATACTGAATCAGGTAACTATATGATCTCCGATGTCAGGAATGACAAATTGAAGAGGATGGTGTGGCATTCATCATCACAAAGAATGTTTCAAGATCTATCCTGAAGTACAATGCTGTCAGTAATAGAATAATATCTATACACCTACCTGGAAAGCCAGCTAATACTACTATTATTCAAATTTATGCACCAACCATGAAAGCCAAAGATGAAGAAATTGAAGATTTTCACCAACTTCTGAGGTCTGAAATTGAACAAACATGCAACCAAGATATGCTGATTATCACTGGTGTTGTTTCCAACTTTTGGAATGCAAAAGTTGGAAACAGAGAAGAATCACTGGTAGTTGGAAAATTTGCCCTTGGTGACAGAAATAATGCTGGAGATCGCATGATAGAATTTTGCAAGACAAATGACTTATTCATTGTAAATACTTTTTTTCAAAAACACAGGTGGTGGCTATAAACGTGGACTTCACCAGATGGAGTACACAGGAATCAGATTGACTACATCTGTGGCAAGAGGTAATGGAAAAGCTCAATATCTTCCAAAACAAGGCCAGGAGCTAATTGTGGAACAGACCATCAACTGCTCATTTGCAAGTTCAAGTTGAAGTTGAAGACAATTAAAACAAGTCCATGAGAGCCAAAATATGACCTTGATCATATCCTCCTGAATTTAGAGACCATCTAAAGAATAGATTTGATGCACTGAACACCAATGTCCAAAAACCAGAGGAACTGTGGGATGACATCAAGAACATCATCCATGAAGAAAGCAAAAGGTCATTAAAAAGACATGAAAGGAAGAAAAGACCAAAATGGATGTCAGAAGAGACTCTGAAACTTGCCCTTGAATGGAGAATAGCTAAAGCAAATGGAAAAAAAATGACAAGATAAAAAGAGCTAAACAGAAGATTTCAAAGAGCAGCTTGAGAAGACAAAGTCCATTATTATAATGAAATGTGCAAAGACATGGAGTTGGAAAGCCAAAAGTGAAGAACACACTGGACATTTTTCAAGCTGAAAGAACTGAAGAGGAAATTTAAGCCTCAAGTTGTAATACTGAAAGATTCTATGGGCAATATATTGAATGAAGGAAACAACAAAAGAAGATGGAAGGAATACACAGAGCCACTGTGCAAAAAAAAACTGGTTGATGTTCATCCATTTCAGGAGGTGGCATATGATCAAGAACCAGTGGTACTGAAGGAGGAAGTTGAAGCTGCACTGAGGCAAGTGGCAAAAAACAAAGCTCCAGGAATTGACAGGATACCCATTGAGATGTTTCAACAAACAGATGCCCCACTGGAGGCACTCACTCGGCTACACCAGCAGATTCGGAAGACAGCTACCTGGCCAAGTGCCTGGAATGATCCATATTTGTACCCATTCCAAAGAAAGGTGATCCCACAGAATGTGGAAATTATCGAACAATATTGTTAATATCACACGCAAGTAAAATCTTACTGAAGATAATTCAAAAACAGTTACAGCAGTATATTGACAGAGAACTTCCAGAAATGCAAGCTGGATCCAGAAGAGGACATGGAACGAGGGATATCAGTGCTGATGTCAGATGGATCTTGGCTGAAAGCAAAGAATACCAGAAAGATGTTTACTTGTGTTTTATTGAGTATGCAAAGGCATTTGATTATGTGGATCATAACAAATTATGGATAATATTGAAAAGAATGGGAATTCCAGAACACTTAATTGTGCTCATGAGGAACTTGTACATAGACCAGGAGGCTGTCGTTCAAACAGAACAAGGGGACACTGCATAGTTTAAAATCAAGAAGAGAGTGTGTCAGGTTGTATCTTTTCCCCATACTTATTCAATCTGTATGCTGAACAAATAATCCAAGAAGCTGGACTATATGAAGAAGAATGTGGCATCAGGTTTGAAAGAAGACTCATTAACAACCTGCATTATGCAGATGACACAACTTTGCTCACTGAAAGGGAGTATGACTTGAAACACTGATGAAGACTGAAGACTACAGTCTGCAGTATGGATTACACCTCAATATAAAGAAAACAAAAATGCTCACAATGGGACCAATAAGCAGAATCATGATAAATGGAGAAAAGATTGAAGTTGTCAAAGACTTCATATTACTTGGTTCTACCATCAACACCATGGGAAACAGCAGTCAAGATATCAGCCGTCATATAGCATTGGGCAAATCTGCTGCAAAGGACCTCTTTCAAGTGCTGAAGAGCAAAGATGTTTCCTTGAAGACAAGGGCACACCTGACCCAAGCCGTGGTATTTTCAATCGCCTCATATGCATGTGAGAGCTGGATAATGAATAAGGAAGAGTGAAGAAGAGTTCATGTTTTTGAGTTGTGGTGTTGGCAAAGAATGCTGAAAGTACCCTGGACTGCTAAAAGAACAAATCTGTCCTGGAAGAAGTACAGCTGGAATGCTCCTTGGAAGCGAGAATGGGCAGACTTCATCTCACCTACTTTGGTCACGTTGTAAGAAGGGACCATTCCCTGGAGAAGGATATCATGCTTGGCAAAGTGGAGGGACAATGAAAAAGGGGAAGGCCCTCAATGAGATGGACTGACACAGTGGCTGCAATGATGGACTCAGGTATAGCCAAGATCGTGGGATGGCCCAGGACCGGGCAGTATTTTGTTCTGTACGTGAGGTCGCCGTGAATCAGAGACGTCTGGATGGCACTTAACAACAACAACAAGAATTTACAGCCTTGGAAATCCTATGGGGCAATTCTGCTTTGTCCTTACAGGGTGACTATGCGTTGGAATCTACTGGATGGCAATGGGTTTTGGATGATGTTTATGGTGTTTGTCAGCATCTGTCAATGTTCAATCGGTTGGGATTTATTTTCTCATTTTAAACACATATTCTTGATGTGTGTTCATAAGGAACCTGTATCTTGACCTGTTGTTCATACAGAACAAGAGGACACTGCATGGTTTAAAATCAAGAAGGGAGTGAGTGTGTCGGGGTTGTATCCTCTCCCCATACTTATTCAATCTGTACGCCGAGCACATAATCCTAGAAGCTGGACTATATGAAGAAGAATGTGGCATCGAGATTGGAGTAAGAATCATTAACAACCTGCAATATGCAGTCGACATAACTTTGCTTGCTTAAAGTTAGGATGACCTGGGGCACTTACTGATGAAGATTGAAGAATACAGCCTGCAGTATGGATTACATCTCAATACAAAGAAAACAAAAGTCCTCACAACTGGACCTAGAAGCAGCATCACGATTAATGGAGAAAAGATTGACCTTGTCAAAGACTTCACCTACTTGGTCATGTTGTCAGAAGGGACCATTCCCTGGAGAAGGATGTCATGCTTGGTAAAGTGGAGGGTCGGCGAAAGAGGGGAAGGCCCTCAACGAGATGGACTGACACAGTGGCTGCGGCCATGGGCTCAAATATAGCAAGAATCATGGAGCTGGCACGGTCCCGCCGGTGTTTCATTCTGCTGTGCATAGGGTCGCTGTGAGTCGGACACGGCTCGAGGGCACCTAACCACAAGAAGAAACAAATATTCACTAGCAAGACGGTAAATCTTCATGGAAGTAGGTTGCCTCATCTTCTAGAAACCAGAAGGGCTGGTGAGTTTGAGCCACGAACCTTCTGGTTAGCGGTCGAATGCCTTAGGCACTGCACCACTACAGCTCCTTTTGTTTTCGTTTGGTTTAAAACAAATATTCACTTCCCCGTGAATATTTGCATGCATAATTTGGGGTTGTCTTTCTTAAGGCCCCACCCCCGCCACCCCAAAATCAAACTTGTTGCCTTTGAGCAGATTCCGACTCCTAAGAACAGAACCTCGGAGCGAGCTTTCTTGTCCTGGGATCTGCGCAGAAGCGGTTCACCAGGCTGTCCTTCCGGGCGCCACTGGGTGGGCTTGAACCGCCAACCATTAGACTAGCAGCAAAACTGCAAGCACCACCCGGCTCCCTGGGCTAAGAATTCATAATTCGCAAGATTCTCATGGAGCTGTTCACTAATAACACAAAGCGCCTGGCGGAACCAGCCACCTCGCCCCCGCCCAGAGGCGGAACCTTCTCCTCGTTCCTTCCAAATTACCCGCGGCGCCTAGAGGAAGAGGCGAAAACACTTTTGAAAGGCCCAATCAGCGCCCTGCCTGACAGCACCAGCCAGTAGGAAGCCTTGGTGGCGCAGGAAGGCGGGAGCAGCTTAATCGAGCAGCGGCGGGAGCGTGTGTCGGTTCTGCTCCCTTTGGGGTCGCGGCTGCACCTTGCGCGCGATGGCGGACGACCTCAGCGAGGAGGCCGAGCTGATGCGGCAACTCCAGGACAGCCGCCGTCGCTTCCAGAGGCGCATGCAGCAGCTAATAGACAAGGTGCGGCCCCCAGCTGCGTCTGGAAGAGGCAGCCGGACGCCGGGCTGGCCGGACTATGGGCAGGGGGCGGCGGTAGGGAAGGGGTCAGAACCTGGGTGTAGCGAGGCAGGACCCGGCTGTGAGAGCGGCGGGCATTGACAGGTTAGGGACCTGGGACAGGGAGACTGCGGGAAGAGGGAGGCGGGTCCGGGACCCAGGTATGGCGCAGCCACCTTCACCTGAGAGGGGTCGGGAGTCTGACCTCTGATCTGACGGGCCGCCCTTTACTCCGCAGTACAACCAGCCCTTCGAGGACGCCCCGCTGGTGGAGATGGCCACCCTGACCTACCGAACGCCCCAGGGTACGGAGTGCTCGCGCGGGTCGGTCTGTGACCGGTGCCTTGGGGAGTTTTGAAATGCCGGTCGTGCGTTTATGAAAATCTACCTTGTTCATCTGCCTCGAGGGAATTCCGGAAGGCACGGACGGTGGAGCGCGCTCCTGGCCGGGCTGGCGGCTCACACTGTCGCCCCCTGTCACCGTGGGGGAGTTGCTTAGCCTGGCTGAGCGCGTTCATGTGTGAGATCGGGAGGGTGGCGGCCGCCGCGGGCCCTGTAACAGCTACACGAGGGCGCTGGCGGGCAGTCCCTGTGTCCGTAAGCATACTGCCTCCTGTTCTGTTTGACTCCGCTAGTGGAGGCGAGAGGACCGGGTGGCCTTCTCCGGCTGGTCCTGCTAGCTAGTGGGGGGCAGGATTAGGGGTGTCTGACTCTAAAGCTTAGAGTGGACCCAGTGCATTGGGCTTGCTCCGTGCTCAGAGACCGCCCACGGTCCTTGCTCTCCGTGCCTACAGACTGTAGCACACAGACATCACCCATGTTGTAGGCTGAGGGCAGGACCTGGCATGTGTTCCTTGTTTCATTCAACTTAGGGGGTCAGTGGTGTCGTTTGAGGAGTGGCTGTTGCAAGAGATTTTCCTTAATGACAAATTCATGTGCAGTCTCTTGAAATCAGAAGCCTGCAGCCTCAGAAAGAATATGTCACGCTTCAGCGCCAGGCTTGATTGGCAGCCGTCTTTCCTTGGCTGGTCACCTTGGGTTTCCTGACGTTCAGGTGGAGTCGGAATCTGGCGTTCCAGCTGACTGAAGTGGCTCTGCTTCTCTGCCGCAGGTCTGAGGCTGTGGGGCGGCCAACTCCTCCGGGAAGGAAGCAGAGAACGGATGCAGGTGATGAACGTTGCTCTTCGTTGCCAGCGGCCTTGCTCTGGAGGACTGTTGGCGTGAATGCTGGTGTGGGCTCTGCCACCCCACTCTGCTCTGGGAGTTTCCGGAACATTCCACGGGGCTCCCAGTTGCTTTCACAGTGTCCTCACCTCAACTCCCTTATTTTCTGTTGGTTTTCAACAATTTACTAGGAAGTATTTCTGCTGTTGCTTCACCAGTACCAGGAGGACCTGTCTGTTTCCAAGCTCTTTGTAACCCTGTTTTTCTTAGGCCACGGGCTGGGAGTTCAGACCACCCTTGGATTAATGGGGTCCCACTTCTGTTCATCGTCTTTAGCTGCCAGGCCTCGGTGTAGCTTAAGCTCTAAAGAGCAAGAGGGTGGTGGCCGGCTTGAAGGCAGCCAGGTGACCCCCCAGCATGTGCCACACCCGCCCTCTGGCTCCACCCACACAGCTCACGCTGTCCCTGCTGATTCCCTCTAAAGAGAACGGGACATCACGGCATCATGATAACCCTACGTCACCCCTCAGAGCCTTGTCAGTGTTTGTGGGTGCTGCCAGAATATGCCCTAGTGGACCTTGGGTTCATTTTTGTTTTGGTTCTCTGCATGCTGTAGTCCTCGTCAGCCACACGGGGCCCTGGGTCAGCATGGTCAGCCTCACGGGGACTAGGGTCGGTGTAGTCAGCTACACAGGGGCTGGGTGAGTGTGGTCTGTGCAGAGAGGCCCTTCTTGATGCCTTTGTTTCTCTGCTCCCCACTGTGCCACCCCTTCCCTCACCAAGTAGCCCAACCAAAGAAGAACCTGCTCCTTCCGAGAAGTCTCAGGCTTCTGGTGGGCTTTTGGGGCCTTTCATAGTAGCATGTGAGGTGGGAAGCGAGCCATGGTGGCACAGTGGTTAAATCACTTGACTGCTAAGCAAAAGGTTGACGGTTCAAACTCACCAGCCACTCAGTGGGAGATAGATGAGGCTGGCTGCTTCCATAAAGACTGACAGCCTTGGAAGTCCTCTGAGGCAGTTCTAGTTCTCCTCTGTCCTCTAGGGGTGCTATGAGTCAGAATCCGGCTCGATGGCCTTGGGTTTGATTTGGTGAGAAGGGAAGCTGGTGAAATGTGCAGTCTCACATCTGCTCGTGGAGGGGTTGTAGGGTCATGACTTGACAGCAGCTCTGAAGGGTCACACTGCTGACCCGGATGTGTCTTGTCTTCTTCAGCTGGAGGAATCCCCCGTGAGGCTGATGAGCTGGGGAAACGGCCCTGGGCGAGCTGCAGCCACAGGTCAGTATGCGTGTGTGAGGCCCGGCACACGTGAGCCTTGGCTGTGTGTGTGTGTGTGTGTGTGTGTGAGAGTGGTAGAACGTTTGCTGTGACACTTGGTGAGGGGCAGCCCGACAGATGTCTCTGTCACAGCATTTTAAATCCTAGATGCCTTGTTCTTACTGTTTGTCGTTCAGAGGTGAATTTTAGAAACCTGAGACAGTGATGTGCCCTCTTCTTCCCGTGAGGTTCCTGGAGCGGAGGGAGCCGTGTCCTGCTCACCACCCCCCGTCCCATCCACAGCGCTCCAGACAGAAGGGACTCAGACGCATCTCTTTTTTTAAAAAAACCTTTTTCCCTTTAAGAAAAAGTCAGAAATTTAGTAAGAAAGGGAAATTGCCTTTATGGGGTGGTACTGTGCACCAGCTGCCCGCCCCTGCAGGCCTCCCTTCCTCTTCAGGGGTTCCTTTGCCTTCCTCAGCTGGGTGTGTTACCTTACCCACTCCCCTGGCCTGTTTTCTCAGGAGTCCAGCCGCTGTCACCCCTCTCACTGCCTTCACCCCAAGTGCAGCCCCTCCGCAAAACGGTGTAAGAGTCTCCTCATCTTGGGTGCTGTTCTGCCATATTCTTTGTGCAGGACGCTCACTGCCCTCCTGCGGGCTCCTCACCCATCTGTCTATTCTCGGCTTCAGTGGTGCCTTGTTCTCGGTCTCCACCTTCCTTTCCTGTACCTTTTTCTCAGCCTTTTTATAGGCCCGTCTGCCGTCTTCACAGGGCTCCCTTCTCAGGGCCCATCTGAACACCTCTCTGCCCCCCGGGGGAGCCCACAGCTCCGGGATCTGCTGGCTGTGTCTCCAGACCAGCTCCCGTCTGGGGGTGTTTCTGCCTGGGAGCATCTCGGCTGGTGTCCCGCAGCGGATGTCATCTGGATAAGTCCCACCCAGTGAGCTCGCCCTTCTGTTCCATGCCATCGTCTTCCCAGTAGAATAAGCCAAAAAGCCACAGGCCTCCGTCCCAGCCTCTCCTTGCTGGGACCCAGGACATCACTGTCCTTGCTTTTGCCTCCTGACTACCTGTCAGACCTGACTTCAGCCCCTTCCCCGCTGCCACCCTCGGGGCATACCACCTCGCTGCTTGAAACACGACAGTGACTCTCATTTGAAAAGTAAGGAGAGCTGGTGGTCTGGGGAAGTCGAATTAGAAAGACCTAACGGGGCTGGGCTGCTATGTGTGGGTGTTTGTGCAGATTGTTACTCCGTAAATCCCCAGTTCCCAGGGTTCCCTGGATGGGCCTGAGCCAGTGGGATTCGTTGTGTCAGGGCTGTGCTGGCCATTACAGTCACCACTTCCTGTGGAGGTGTGATCTGTGCTGACGGCTGCATCTTCTTCATCACTAAGTGCTTCAAGCCCTTTTTGCTTCTCGTGAGCATGGTGGCGTCTCCATATTGCAGGTGGTTAGTGAGTCTTCCTCCAGCCCTGATGCCGCATCCTTCATAGAGCCCAGCTTCTCCAATAATTTGCTCAGCATACAGACTGAATAAGTATGGTGAAGGGACGCACACCCTTCCTGCTGTTAAACTGAACAATTGATTTAAATAGTTAAATTGAATGTTGTTGTTGTTGTTGTTATGTGCCGTCAAGTTGGCCCCGACTCATAGCGACCCTTCCTTGGGTTTCCAAGGCAGTGTCACTACGGAAGTAGATTGCCCAACCGTCCTTCTGAGGAGTGGCTGTTGTGTTTGAACCACCAGCCCTCTGGTTAGCAGTCAAGTGCCTTAGCCACTATCCTACCAGAGCTCCTGAAAATTGAATATAATTTAGAATTCTGTTCTTCTGCCTCCTTGGCCACATGTCACATGTCATAGCATGTGTGGCTGGCACTGCCGTCTCACGTGGCAGAGGACGTTCCGTCACCGAAGGAGGATCGGACAGTGCCGGGCCAGGGTCTCAGCATCACTTGAGTCAGCTTACTAAAAGAGCTAACCAAAAACCCACTGCCATCAAGTCGATTGTGACTCATAGTCACCCCTATTGGGTTTTGAAGGCTATAAATCTTTACAGAAGTCAATTGCTTCATCTTCCTCCCATGGGAACAGCTGGTGGGTTTGAACCACCGACCTGGTTAGCTGCCAGATGTCTCACCCACTATGCCACCAGACAGTATAAAATCTGCTTCCCCTTCCCCTGCCTCCTAAGGCAAATTCCTGTCCTGATAGGTTCTCTGGGTTACTACAGGGAAACCTGTGAGAGCTCGACCACCGCAGGCTGCCTTGTTTTCTGCGTGTTGCAAGTTTCAAGCCTTTGGCAGGGTACAGTCTTAACCACTTTTCTATCACACCCTGATAGGTGCTGTGGAGTCATTTCCACCTTGTAGCGAGCTCACGTGCAGTGGAGTGAAATGCTGCCCGATTCTGCCCCGTCTTCACAGTCGTTGCTGTGTTTGAGCCACTGTGTCATTGCAGCCACTGTGTCACTCCGTCTCACTGAGAGCCATCTTCTTTTCTGCTGGCCCTCTGCTTTCCCAGGCATGATGTCCTTCGCCAGGGACTGGTCCCTCCTGATAACATGTCCAAAGTGTATGAGATGAACTTGTGCCGTCCTCACTTCTAAGGAGCATTCAGGCTATACTTCTTCAAGACAGGTTTGTTTGTTCTTCTGCAAGACCATGGTATGCTCAGTACTCTCTGCCAACACCGTAATCCATAGGTATCCGTTCTTCTGTCTTCCTTATCCATTGTCCGACTTTCACGTGCATATGAGATGATGGAAAATATGATGGCTTGGGTGAGACACGCCTTAGTCCTCAAAGGGACATTTTGCTTTTAACACTTGAAAGTGGTTTTGCCCAATGCAGTATGTCATTTGACTTCTTGACTGCTGCTTCCATGGACATTGGTTGTGGATCCAAGTAAAATGACATCCTTGACAATGTCAGTCTTTTCTCCGTTTATCCTAATGTTGCTTATTGGTCCAGTTGTGAGTATTTTTGTTTTCTTGATGTTGAGATGTTATCCACACTGAAGGCTGGTGGTCTTTGATCTTCATCAGAACGTGCTTCAAGGCCTCTTCACTTTCAGTGAGCAAGGTCGTGTGGCACTGCTCTTCCATCATCCTTTCCACAGATGTGGGCTTGATTCTTCTGTGTTGCATCCAGTGAAGGCCTTGTGTTTAATTGAAAAAAGTAACAGCATAACGCACTGCTGCATCTTTTGTTGGAACGTCTCAGTGGGTACTCCGTCAATTCCTGGAGGCTTGTTTCTCAGCAGTGCCTTCAGTGCAGCTTGGATTTCTTCCTTCAGTACCATCAGTCCTTCATTATATGCTACCTGCTGAAATGGTTAATGTCAACCACTTCTTTTTGGTACAGTGATTCTGTGTATTCCTTCCATTTTCTTTTGATGCTTCCTGCTTGTAAATATTTTGTCTGTAGCATCTTTCAGTAGTGCAGCTCAAGCCTTGAATTTTTTTCTTCACTTCTTTCAGCTTAAGAAATGCTGAGCGTGTTCTTCCCTTTCAGTTTTCTAACTCTAGGACTTTGCACATTTCATTATAATATTTTGTTTTTTCTAGCTGCCCTTTGGAATTTTCTGTTGAGCTCTTTTACTTCATCATTTCTTCCATTCGCTTTGGCTACTCTTAGTTCAAGAACAAGTTTCAGAGTCTTTTGACGTGCATTTTGGTCTTTTCTTCCTTTCCTGTCTTTTTAGTGACCTTTTGCTTTCTTCCTGGATGGTGTTCTTGATCCCACCCCACAACTCCTCTGGTCTTTGGTCATTGCTGTTCAGTGGTCAAATCTCTCCTTGAGATGATCTCTAAATTCAGATGGGATATACTCAAGGTCATACTTTGGCTCTCATGGACTTGTTTCAATTTTCCTCAGCTTTAGCTTGAACTTGCATGTGGGCAGTTAATGGTCTCCTCCATGGTTGGCCCCTGGCCTCGTTCTGACTGATGATGTTGGGCTTCTCCATCATCTTTTTCCACGGATGTAGTAGGTTTGATTCTTGTGTAGTCCATCCAGTGAGGTCCTTGTGTTTAATCGCCATTTGTGTTATTGAAGAAAGGTATTTGCAGTGACCAAGTCATTAGTCTTATGGAGTTCTGCCATGTGGTCACCAAGGCTGTATTTTCCAAATATTGATCCTTGTTTGTTTCCAACTTTCTCATTACAGTCATTATCAGTGTATCTGGATTGCATGTTTGATCAACTTCAGACTGCAAAAGTTGGTAAAAATCTTCAATTTCTTCATCTTGGGCATTAGTGGTTGGTGCATAAATTCAAATAATAGTCGTAGTAAACTGGTTTTCCGTGTAGGCATATGGAGATTATCCTCTCACTGACTGTGTTATATTTCCGGACAAACGTTCCTTTGATAATGAGTGCAACACCGTTCCTCTTTAATTTATCATCCCTAGCATAGTAGACCGTATGATGGTCTGATGCAGGATGGCCAATACCAGTCCATCTCGGCTCCCCAGTGCCTGGAATAGCCATCTCTAGCCATTCCATTTCATTTTTGACAACTTGTAATTTTCCTAGAGTCGCACTTGTACATTCCAGTTGTAAATGGATGTTTGCAGCTGTTTCTTCCCATTTTGAGTCAAGCCACATCAGAAATGCAGGTCCCAAAAGCTCCGCTCTGAGAAGGCAGCCCTTTACCAGTAGTGTACTGAGAGCCTTCCAGCCCAAGGGCTCACCTTCAGCACAGTGTCGCCTGCTGTCCAGTTTTCACTGGCTGATGTTTTCGGTAGCTCTCCGGGTCCTCCTCCTGGGTCTGTCTGAGCCTGGCAGCTCCGCGGGGAGCCTGTCCACCTGACCCAGCTGGGATCTGAAGTGCCAATGGCAGAGCTCCCAGCATCACAGCAACACATAAGCCACCACAGCGTGACAGACTGACAGATGGGTGGTGGCCATCCCCACATCATTAGCATCACTGTTAGTGGGCAATACTTGCAATTTCTGTCTGGCACGTTTATACCCTACACAGGCTCCAGGTTCGCTGGTTTCGCTGTAATAACCGCTGACAGCTGTAGATGGCCAAGGCCTTCCTCGAGGATGGCACATTTGAAGTGGGGGGGTTTCTGCTACAGGACCTGTGCAAGTGAAGTACAGGCTCTCCGAGAATGAGAAGCAGACGCTGTCCTAGACACTCTGACCGATATTGCCTTTTTGCTTTTAGGTTCAAAGAGCAATGATGTTGATGCAGCGTTAGACCAAGGAGACAAGGTGGCCATGGCCATGGCGGTAAGAATGACCTCGTGCAGTGAGTGCACAGTCGGGCGAGAGGCAGCCCCATGTGTCCTCAGCTCCGGCCACGCCTCCCAGGGCTGCTTTCCTGGCACTCTGGGCTCCCTCCGCTGAGCCTCTTGTCTGACTGCTTTGCACAGACGTTTGCCCACACACCTGTGTGACTTTCTTTTCCTTCTGAACAGGGTGGAGGTCGTGACCCTGCAGGAGAGCATGTTCTGGAGTACTAAGTGGGGAGTGGCCGTAAAGTTGGTGGCCCTGATAGTAGAGAGTTGAGATGCTGGCCCTTCCCTGACAGTAGTGGCTCATGGGGCCCCGTGTGCCATCCCGTATCCCTGTCCTAACCCCACAGGGGCAGCGAGTGGAAGCTGGGGCCCGATTTGAGGTGTGGTGTGGTGGGTGAGAGACAGGAGGGTGAGCACTCCTGAGTGACTCCTTTTATAAACATACTGGTGGGTGCCCGTGTCCGTGGCTGGGTCCTGGATCCTCCTGAGAGCGTTCAGGTCACTTTAACATCTTTCTGGTCTAGTGGCACTGTTGTAAATTTTCTCCAGACTTGAGTGTTTTATCTTTTGCTGTCTTTTGGATCGTTAGCATTAGAGAGTCCCCTAAAGCCAGGTGCTTTCTCAGAGGGGTTGCCTGGGAGCAGTCGCTGTGAGAGTGACTTGAGGGAGCTTCATTTTGACATTTGCGCCATCCCATGCGGTGCGGGCTCCCGTCACAACGCGGGCCCTCTGCCACCCATGGCGCCCTTGGAACACTGACTTCTCTCTTGGTCAGCCTGCCGTGCCCCAGAGCCCTCTGAAGAACGAGCTGCGAAGGAAGTACCTGACACGAGTGGACGACCTGCTGCAGGGGAAAGGGTGGTCAGAGGTAACCAGCCTCCGCAGGCCTCCCTCTGTGCTCTGGTCTCAGACTAGGCACACGCCAGAGTGCAGTGCGCTCGTGATTTTGTTTGCCCCCCTTACAGACCCTGGATAGAGTATCTGGAGTGATGCTCTCACAGTTACTCTGGGCACATTTCACCCTGAGGCTCATAGATGTTTGCACTTCTTGCATGAGCACTCTAGGCCCACTGTTGTCAGCTGCCAGTCTCTCGGTGGCCCCATGTGTTAGGAGAGTAGAACCACCTGCGTGGTGTTTTGTCCTGTCGTCTGTATAGAAGTAGATCACCTGTTCTTTTCTCCCTGAGCCACTGGGTGAGTGTGAACTACATACCTTCTCCTTTAACCTAAAATAGTAACTGATGGCCTGTTGGTGGCTGTGTGGGTCAGAGGTGGCATCAGGAGGCGGGAGCAGCCCTGTCATCTTACTGGTGGCTTGGCTTTGCCCAACACCTCCTGGCCTCATGCTGTTGTTGCTACCCAGGTAGTGGTGGGTGAGGAAAAGAACCAGACCCCTTGAGGGAGCCACTGGCAGACACTGTCACAACGTCCACATGTCACTGTGGAAGCCATGTGGACATTTCCAGTTCTCACGACCCTCTCACTGTCATTGTTTGAAGCCCAAACCAGCCACTGTCATTGGAGTCACAGGCTGTCAGAGCTGCTGTGCTGAGAACATGGGGCAGAGTCATACGCTGTCAGAGCCACTGTCCTAAGAATACAGGGCATAGTTTGAAGAGAGAGTGGCTCTTTTCCACCATCCTTGGAAGACCATTGCATGATGGGGAAAAGCCAGCCAAGCGTGTCCCATGTCTCAGGACCCAGCAGTGGTTTTTTTTTATTCATATGTAACCATTTGCTTTGCTTTCAGTGCACATATTACAGTGGCGGAGAGGATGCCCAGGTGACCTTGAGCCCAACGTTGGCCGAGCCTGCCTGGGGTGAGTGTGGCAGATAAGCCGTGTGACCGCAGGCCAGCTGTGCCCAGCTGTGCCAGTCAAGTCCTTTGCAGCCTTTGTTCATTTAGTCCATTCAGGGTCCGCCCAAGCATTGCCCGTTCATCTGGTGGTCAGATCACCTTCACTCTACACGTTCTTTGGCCTTTTTGTTGTTGCTCTCATCCTCCCTGTCATGGACATTCTTGTGTAATCCAGCCAGTGGTTTTACAGAAATCGCCACTGGGGTCCTTCGCTGACAGTATTTGCTCGTGGGACCCTATGTGCCGTCCGGAATCCTGGCCCTAACCCCACAGGGCAGTGGTGGAAGCTGGGACCCGATCTGAAGTGAGGCAGTGAAAGACAGGAGGGGGATTGCTTCCTTGGGGTTACATTCATGTTAGACATTTTTCACAAACGTCCTACACAAATGAGAACGTGCCCTTCACGGTAAGTGGGGTTGCTTAGTTAAAAGGGCGCTCTAGATTTCTCAGCTATGAGATGCTGTTTCCCACTCAGTCCTCTTCGTGGGTGATGAGACCGTGAAAGCCTTTTCCCCAAAAAAAGCCATTGCCCCTCCCCCACAGTCTCAGTAGTCAGCGAAGGTTACTGCCTGGGGTGGTAGTTGCTGACCAGTCCTCTTCCACCTTTGGTGGTTTAAAGAATCATCAAGACTTGTTTAAAATCCAAGGGCCACATCCATTGCCAGACGCAGTCTGATGCCAAGATGGTCCCAAATTTGCCCTTTGGGAGCCCCTGTCAGTCCAGCTTCTGTGCTGTTGCCACATCCCCAATGGCTTTTGAGCACAGCACCCCCACCACACCCCTGGTTGTCACCAGCTTCAGTGATGTACCCTTGTTTTGTCAGTCATAGTCTCTGAAACACTCAAAATTGCAGCACCAGCCGCTGCTGTGGTCAGTGCCACAGAGTTGGGGGTCACAAGTTCCGAGCAGCTGTGTGTGTCCTCAGACAGGACCCCACACAGATGTCCGTTCAGAGCGTGTGTTCACTGTTACTGGGACTCCCCTCTCCCTCACTGTCTTTACCGGTTTGATAAGTTAGGTTCACGTGGGTCTGTGCCTATTCGATATATATATGGAACTCTGGTGGCACAATGCCCAAGGCATTTGACTGCTAACCAGAAGGTTGGTGGTTCAAACCCACCAGCCACTCCACAGAAGCAAGATGGGGCATCCTGCTTCTGTAAAGATTTACCACCTCGGAAACCCCAAGGGGGTCGCCTGAGTCAGAATGCACTCGATGGCAGTGAGTGTGGTTTTCTTGTTTTATACACGCACACACAATGTTTGACATGGCGCAGAAGTCAGAGCTGGGCAGCAGTGCATTCGGGAGTCTTATTCCCTTCCCACCTACACCCATAGGTAAAAAAAGTTGTTAATTTCTGAGTTGTAATTGGCTTCTGGAAAGGTAACTTTCTGAATGGTAGAGGAGGGAAGCTGCCTTTGGGAAATGTAGGGTGGGAAGTAGAAGTGACACTTGAATAGCCAAAGAGAGCACTCTGAGCAGAGGCTGTCCCCAAGCCCTGCTGGGGGCACTTTGTCTCGTGTTTGTTGTCGGCCATTCTCCGCTCCTCAGTCCCGTGGTCTGTGCATCTGGATGGTGGTTAAAAGCTGAGTCACGTTCACGTTGTGTTTTTTTCCTCCTAGGAGACAACGGTGATGTCTTTGTCAAGAAGCCTGGTGGCCCAGTCAGGTCAGCGTCACCTCTCGGAGAATGTGAGCCCTCGGCTGACTTGGCAGTGGTGCCTGGAAATGCCAGCCACCACAGCTTGGTAAGCCACCAGTCCCTCGAGGCCGAGGACGTCTGCGACGTGACCATCAGTGACTTGTATGAAGGCATGCTGCACTCCATGAGCCAGCTGCTGGGCACGAAGCCATCCTGCGTCATCTCCACCAAGACCCTCATCACCAGACCCTGGAGCTGCAGGTGGCGGCCCCGGTGGAGAGCCAGACTGAACCGTACCTACTGCAAAGGGGGCAGCTCCGAGGAGCGGCGCTCGCCCTGCTCCGAGCCCACAGAAAAGATGGCGGCCCCGAGCAGCACCGAGAGCTCACTGGGTGTTCCCGGCCGAGAGTCGCGTTTCCAGCTGAAGAAAGCCCTCCAGGAGGTGAACCACCCGCAGGGCCGTGGATTAGCTCCAGGCTGGAAGGAGCTTAGCGTGACTCCCCGGAAGCGTTCTCCAGTGATGTGCTTGGACTCCAGCGCAGTGTACGACCTAGATCAGGAGAATAGGTTCATGACGTTGAAGTGGTTAATTTCTCCTGTGAAAATCACATGCAAATCCAGAGCACACCAGGGCCTGGCCAGGAGCTGCCACAGAGAGATTGACGTCAAGTTTGACAAGCTGCATCAGGAATGCTGTCCATACCCCGTGAGCCGGACTTGCCCCCCAGGCTTCTGGGCACTGGACCTGTGCAGAGGTAGCCCCGCCAGCCCCAGCTGCCTCCAGGAAACCCACCAGCTGCGCATTCCTGCCCCACAAAGGCCGCTTGAGGGTTTGGAAGAACTGGGCGAGAGATCTGTTGGAAAGGGTGGATGCTCGCCAAAGTATGATTCTTTCTCAGCTCTCTGCAAGACTGGCCTGGGGCCTAACCCTGACCACGCTGAGTGGCCACCGGCCTGTCTCCTCCAAGGAGGTAGCCCTGCAGTGTTCAGGTCACTGCCACCCAGAGAAGCTATTTCAAAGCCAAGTGTACAGCCCCTAGGCTGTGGAAGGAGTCGTTATGATGATATTAAAGAAAGATTTGACAGACTTCATCAAGAGTATTGTCAGACGTCACCCAGGCGGGTGACGGAGTCTTCCTGTACTGGACTGTCTCCCACTAGGGCCAGCGTGGAAGCCCTGCGTAAAAAGGACTTTCGAGGACACATGGGGGCAGACTCTGCCGTCCAGAGTCCCCAGAAGTCGTTTGGCTCGACCACCACTGAAATTTATCTTGCGACAGGCGTTGTCCGCACTCCCTGGAGGGACCACCAGTCACCTGCAAAAAGACGCAGGTTGTCAGACCCCCAGGTGTGTGGACAGTGGGCCGAGTCCTGGAACTCCACAGGTGCAGGCAGAGCTGACCTGAGGCTGAGGGGGGTGTTTCGCCCTTTGTAGCTGGACATGGGAAAGGAGGTATGTTTCTGTCGGTTGGATATGGGTGTTTTAGTTGAGTGGCTGCTCTGTGGGTGAAAGCTTTTAACAGGTTAGCAAACTTGGTGTGTCCCTAAGATAGGGTTCTTGGATGAGGGGTAGTTTCCTACCTGCGCTCCCAAACCAGCACCCATGTCAGTGACGTTGTCATTGTCCTAGCCATGTTCTTAGATGACGAGTGTGTGCATCTCCAGTGGAATGACGCATTAAGGAGCTTTCTAAAAACATCTCCTCGTCACGCCCTCCTTTGTGTAACAAACGTGCATACTCGCTTATCAACTATCTCGTTATCCAGCATTTCACATTTATGACAACTTTGAAAAAATTCTCAGGTGGGCCTCTAGTGGTCCGGGCCTCACGTGGGTCACAGCTAGGTCCAGGGCGCCCTCTGCGGGCCGCCCTGAACGATGTCCCGAAGGCCCCAGCGACAACTAGGCCACATGAGGGACAGCAGCCAACCAGCTGTGGGAGGCCTTCTCCCATTTGTCCACGATACCTCATTGGCCACAGAGGGCAAGGGGCAGCAGCTGGAGGAACAAGGTCCCAGGCAGGCAAGCAGGGGAGGCTGGGCAAGAGCCCCAAAGGTGCAGGGAGGCCAGTGGGGGGGAGGCAAGGAGGAGAGGAGAGAAGAGGGCCCACTGTACCGTGCACGTCTCCAGCTGCTGGGGGCAGCCAACGGGCGGTGAGCAGCCAGGCAGGGGAGGTGGACACAGGGCTGTTGATGGCACAGCCCCGACTCACCCAGCGCCAGTTTCACACAGTGACCTCAACTGTGGAACCCACCCATGTCAGTGAGTGAGGAGCCTCTTAATCCTGTACTCTAAACACTAGCTATGGTAAGATAAAACTGGTCTGAGAACAGCAACACTCCCTTTACTTCTGGCTCCCCGTACTCGTCACATGCTTGCCCTGCAGTCAGTGCCCCTACTACCTCTGTCACCTCTCAGGCCTCGAGGTCGGGACCCGTACCATGTCACCCCTCAGGGCCCATGGTCATGACCCTATACCTCTGTCCCCCTCAGGGGCCGTGGTCAGGACCCGTACCTTGTCACCCCTCAGGGCCTGTGGTCAGTGTTCATACTTCTGTCATCCCTCAGGGCCCGTGGTCAGGACCTGTACCCTGTCACCCATCAGGGCCCACAGTCAGCACTCTGTACCTCATTATCTCAGACCTTCCATCCCTTCACTGTGCTCTGCTCACTGGCTTCCTCTAGGCTTTCAGACCATGGGCCTTCCCTCCCGTGGGAAACCTTTCATAAAACCTTAGAGTACTTTGGCTAGAACTGGGACTCAGTGCTATGAATGAAACGGTGACCACTCCTTCCAGAACATTCTGAGTGTGGGTGGCCTCCCTTGGCCCTGCTCCACATCAATCTCAAACAGGGCCCCTGTCTGCACTCCTGCCCCTATGTAGCCTGCACTGGCTTCTGAACAGAAACCACACACCCTTAGACCCCCAGCGGCCTCCTGGTGGCTGGTTCCTGTAACCACGTGAGGTTACCCTGTGGCTAAGTGCTTGGCTGCTAGCCAAAAGGTTGGCAGTTTGAATCCTCCAACCATTCTGAGGAAGAAAGATGAGGCAGTTTGCTTCTGTAAAGGTTTACAGACATGGGGACCCTGTGGGACAGTTCTGCTCTGCCGTCTAGGGTCTGTCCTGTGATTGGCATTGACTGTGGCTCACAGCCACCCCCAGCAGCCCCTGGGGCTTCCCCAGCTGCCCCGTCCGGCTCTGCCATCTGATGGCACGTCCCTTTCTTTGCCCGGTCAATCCTCGTGTGGGTTTTCTCTGTGGAGGTCCCCCTCTTGGCTTTTGTGTCTCTGAATGCTCTCCTCCTGCTGTCCTCAGCAGGGGGCCCTGGAGCGCCACAGCAAGACACATCCTCGCTGCCCAGGTTCCTCGACTCGGTTCTGAAAACCCCCTGCATTTGTTTCTGTTCAATTTGTTGTTGAAATTTATTTCCATGTACACAGTCATTCTGTCAGCTGACCAGAAGCACACCTGCATCGTGATTTGTCTTCCCAGTCAAAGATCTACCCAGGAATTCAGGTTGTGGGGTGGGTTTAGCAGCCAGGGCCCCGCCTAGTGTCGGGGAGCAGAGGCAGGCCTGACTGTGGACCAGGACAGGGCACCCCCCCCAGCCCCGGAGGGCACTGCTGGATTGGGTGGCATGTCCAACAGTACACACCTCACAGCAGAGGCCACCCCTTAGGCCCAGGCCTGAAGCTGCGGCCCCTCTGCTCCCACTTGGCTTTTCCTGACCATGTGGTCCACCATGTAGGTGTCAGGCGGTTCAGCACGGCTGGTGAAGGAGAGGCTTTTGAGCCACCTCAGCCACGTACTGATGGCAGACACTTGGTGGAGGCTGTTTTCTGAGGGAATCTCATCTGTCTGTCTGTCCCAGATGATGGCCTCTCAGGATGGACTGTTTGTCAGTTGGAAGGGGTATTGACTGAAGACAGCCTCTTAGCCTCTGGAGCGCCCTGACACAGTAGACGTGTGGACTCTGTCCGCAGCCCTGCTCACCTGGCCCCCAGCTGCTTCTCAGAGCCCCTCCTGGCTGTTGTACTGTCTCTGTTCCGTGATTCTCTCTCCCCTCTCTGGCCTCTGTCACTTTGAGTCCCAGGAGCTGGCAGCTCCCTTCTCTGCCTCAGTTGTCCACTGCCTACCTGCCAACCCCTCACCAGGCCATCTGCCCTCATTTGTGTACCTGCTCAGCCTGAAGGAGCCCCGCCCCCCCGCCAGCCACACAGTGGGCACCTCAGCTTCCCAGAGACCGCTGCAGGGTGCAGCCGGCCTACCTGCTTTGAGCAGTGTCTCAGGGCCAGGACCAAGACGGCTCGGCCCCACCCAGACTTGGAGACCTTGATGTAAACATGTTTAGCTTTTATGGGTATGTTTTTCTTCTCTCCCTGCTTATATTATAAACCTCTTGTTGTTATTATTTGCCATCGAGTCGGACCCAACTCATAGCGACACCTCCTTGGGTTTCCGAGGCAGTATCACTACGGAAGTAGATTGCCCTATCTTCCTTCCGAGGAGTGGCTGGTGGGTTTGAACCGCCAGCCTTCTGCTTAGCAGTCAAGTGCCTTAGGCACTATGCTACCAGAGCTCCCATAAATCTCTTAAGGGGCCAAATCTTAGTGACCTGTGATGACATAAGGGTTTTAGTGGCTGACTTGGGAGCCCCCTGTGCAACACGCTAACCCCTTTAAGCATCATCTCGCTAAATCTGTGCACCAGCCTGGTTGGGTAGGTTCCAGCCAATGGGAAGGGCCCTTTCGCCTCTATCTAAATAAGGAAATGCGGGTTCATCTTGTGCTTTCCAGGTATATGCAGCCAAGACGGTGTGAGGCCCGGCTGTGGACACCCAGGGACTTGAGTGCTATGCTGCACCGCCTGCTGTCTGGTTCACTGTGTTTTCCCCCTTCCTTAGACATCTGTTCAGCTTGGGGCCTTCTTCCCATAAGCACAGACACTGAAGACAGCCCATGACGCAGCTGGAGAGCAGCAGCTGCCGTCCGGAAGGAGCCTTGGTGGAATGATGCTTTCCCTTTCTTCCCCAACAGGCAAGAAGGCCCAGGATGGAAGAAGAGAGTGATCCGTCTTAGGAAGTCGGTGCAGACATCAACAGAGCCCAGCCGCCGTGCAGTGGCGTCCCCGTCCCCTTGCCCGGCCGTCTTGTAATGATGTCCCTGTCTTTCTTGCTCTCTCACTTAAAAAAAAAAAAAAAATCGTCAAGACCCTGAGAACCTGGTGGTCTTTATTTGCCCTTCCAAGCCAGTGTCAGTGACCAGCTGTGTCACAGATGGCCCTGAGTTCTTTAGTAAATAATAAAGTTTCTCTTTCTCTTACCATTTCTAGACCTGATAGTCCTGTTTTCTTCTAAAAATTGAACAAGTCCAAGGAATTCTCCTTACCATTTCCAGTTATGTTAGGAGGCATTGTTTGCTTATAAAACCTAAGTATAAGCCTCGGATAGGCTGATCCTCGTAGGAAAATATGGCTGCTTAGTCTTTCAAAGAATGATCCCTGGTAATGGAGCAGTAAATGCACTCAGCTGCTCACCAAAAGGCCAGCGGGCCACTCCCACCAGCCCCTCCAGGAGGAAGATAAAGCTCGGTTTCCATAAAGCTGACAGCCTGGGAAACCCTGTCAGCAGGTCTGCCCTGCCCTATAAGGTCACTGGGAGTTGAACTCAACGGCAATGGTTGTTAGGTTACTCTTCAAAAGGAACCCTGGTGGCACACTAGTAAACACTCAGCTGATAACTGAAAGGTCGGTGGTTCAATCCTAGCAGCTGTACTGCAGTAGAAGAGACCTGGTGACTAAGAGTACAGCCTAGGAAACACCAAGGCACTTGTCTGTTACACAGGGTGGCTGTCAATCAGAACTGACTGCACAGCAACAACTTAGTATTTTTTATTCTTTTGGTCTTTTAAATTCAGTCCCCATGGGGACTGGGTATCTTCCATATTGTTTGTTGTTAGATGCTACCTAGCAGGTTCTGACCCAGTGACCCCATGTACATCAACAAAATGCTGCCCAGTCACTGTGTCAGTTCATCTCGTTAAGGGTCTTCCCCTTTTTCACTGACTCTACCAAGCATGACATCCTTCTCCAAGGACTGGCCAGGCCCTCCTGATAACGACCAAAGTCGGAGAGATGAAGTCCTTTCATTCTCCCTTCCAAGGAGCATTCCAGCTGCACTTTTTCCAGCACAGATTGGTTCGTCCTGGCAGCCCGTGGTACATTCTGCGTTCTTCGCCAACACCAAAACAAATGCATCAGTTCTTCTGTGGCCTTTCCTGTTCAGTATCCCACTTCCACATGCACATGAGGTGGTGGGAATGACAAAGGCTTGGTGCACCATGGTCCTCAGTGACTTTGCTTTGGAATGCCTTAGTCTTGCAGTAGATTCACCAGTGTAATACATAGTTTGCTTTCTCGACTGATGTTTACATGGGTGTTGATTGTGGATCCAAGTAAAATGAAATCTTTGGCAACTTCAATCTTTTCTTCCTTTATCATGATATTGCTTATTGGTCCAGTTGTGAGAATTGTTTTATGTTGAGGTGTAATCCATACTGAAGGATGTAGTCTTTGATCTTTATCAGTAAGTGCTTCAAGTCTTCCCTTTCAGCAAGCAAGGTTGTGTCCTCTGCATATCTCAGATTGTTAATGGGTCTTTCTGTAGTCCTGATGCCGAGTTCTTCATGTAGTCCAACTTCTCAGATTATTTGCTCAGCATACAGATTGAATAAATATGAAAGGATACTACCCTGAAACACTTTTGGATTTTAAACCATGCAGTATCCCCTTGTTCTATTCAAAACTACTGCCTCTTGGTCTGTGCACAGGTTCCTCATGAGCACAATGAAGTGTTCTAGAATTTTCATTCTTCCCCATGTAACCTATAATTTGTTATGATCCATATAGTCAAATGCCTTTGCATAGTCAATAAAACACAGGTAAACTTATCTTTCTGGTCATTGTTTTCAGCCAAGATACACCTGACATGAACAGTGATATCCCTCATTCCACATCCTCTTCAGAAGCCGGCTTGAATTTCCAGCAGTTCCCTGTCAGTGTAATGCTACAACTGTTTTAAAATTATCTTTAGCAAAATTTTACTTGTGTGTGATATTAATGATATTGATAGATAGTTTCCACATTGCATTGGATAACCTTTCTTTGAAATGGGTACATAAGTGGATCTCTTCCAGTCAACCAAGTAGCTGTCTTCCAAAACTCTTGGCATAGGCAAGTGAGTGTGTCTGGCATCTCATCCATTGGTTGAAACAACTCAATTGGTATTTCATCAATTCCTGAAACCTTGTTTTTTGCCAATTCCTTCAGTGCAGCTTGGGCTTCCTCCTTCAGTACCATCTATCCTTGGCCATATGCCACCTCCTGAAATGGTTAAACATTGACCAGTTCTTTTTGGTGTACTCTGGATTGGTATACTTTAAATAGAACAAGGGGATACTCTGAATTCCTTCCATCTTCCTTTGATGTTTCCTGCATTAGTCAATATTTTGTCCATAGAATCCTTCAGTATTGCCACTTAAGGCTTGAATATTTTCTTCGGTTCTTTCATCTTGAGAAATACTGAGTGTGTTCTTCCCTTTTGGTTTTCTAACTTTGAAATATTGCGTTCAGTTTTTTATTTCATGATTTCTTCCATTTGCTTTAGCTATTTTGTGTTCAATAGCAGGTTTCATAGCCTCTTTTGACATCCATTTTACTGTTCTCTTTCTTTCCTGCCTTTTGAATGACCTTTTGATTTTTTTCATGTATGATGCCCTTGATGTCATCTCACAACTTGTGTGGTCTTCGGTCTTTGGTATTCAGTGCATCAAATCTGTTCTTCAGATGGTCTCTAAATTCAGGTAGGATATAATCAAGGTAGTACCTTGGCTCTCATGGACATGGTGCAGTTTTCTTCAGCTTCAACTTGACCTTGCATGTTAACAATTGATGGTCTCTTCTTGCAGTTAGCCCCTGGCCTTGTTCTAATGATATTGAGTTGCTCCGTTGTCTCTTTCCACAGATGTGGTTGATTTGATACCTGTGTATTCCATCTGGTGAGGTCCATGTGTGTAGTGGCTTCTTATGTTGCTGAAAAAAAAGGTACTTGCAATGAATAAGTCATTGGTTGTGCAGTATCTTATTGTCCTGGCTACCTAGTGCCACTCTGACAGGAATATACCACAAACGGGATGCTTGAACAAACAGGAGTTTATTCTCTTACAGTTTGGAGACTTTAAGTCCGAGTTCAAAGTGCCAGGCTCTAGGGGCTGGGTGAAAGCCCTTCGACCTTGGACTTCAGCTCTGCCTCTTGCTCCTGGCCCACTGAAGCTAGAGGCTTCTCTCCACTCAGGCTGCTGCTGGCTGCTGAGGCTGACAAGCTCAATGTTAATAAAATGGCACAATCCCAATGTTACCAAAACACACGGCAGGCCATTAACTCAAGTCCATTGTGAGTCCCAAGGTCGGCAGAGCACAACAGGCTACTGAACGATGGCTACATGAAGGGTCCAAGCGTGCCATAAGCTAGAGACCATTCCCCAAGGCTTCTGCTTAAATACAGGAAGCAGACCACATTCCCTAAGGCTGCTCACAGTAGATTCTACCATGGAGTTGATTACCAGTCTCATCATGGGGAATACTACATCCAGCTGCCCAGCCACTCAACCAGGCCTAGCCAAGTTGACATACAAACTAAACTACCACACCCATCATGCAATCTACGTTGTCATTTCTATCACCACGGCCATACTTTACAGCTACTGATCCTTCTTCATTTCCAACTTTTGCATTCCAATCACCAGTTGATTGAATAATTTCTTTTAGAAAGATCAGCACAAGGCTGGTCCCCGTGAAATGGAAGTTAAAGATGTCCCGCTTTTCCGAACTGCCGTACCACTCCATCATCTCTGACACCAACTCCCCCTCCTCCCCTCAGTAATCACCCTCCTTAGGGTTTCATATTTTGCTGTAATATCTCACAGACTCCCAAGGAAAGCCTACATAGTGGTGGTGGAGGCTGGGAGGGTCACAGGCCGGCAAGTCCCCGGCCTCTGGGTAGGTCTAGAGGCTTCTTCCAATTCATGGTTGCCAGGGTTGGCGAGCCCAAATTGGTGGGTCAGATGATGGCTTCTGTCTCAAGTCCAAGGGTGGGATGACGATGGCAAGAGAGTTTACTTTCCCAGAACGTTCACATATATACCCCCAAGAAAGCTAAGGATGGTGACTTGAGTCACACCCTCCAGCAAGGCGGGACTCAAGATACTCCAAGAAAAGCACTGCCATCAAGTCAGTTTTGACCCATAGTGACCCCCTTTGGGTTTCCAAGGCAGTAAATCTTTGCAGAAGTCGATTGCCCAGTCTTCCTTCCACGGAGTGGCTCGTGGGACTCAAGACCCACCCCACCCTGAACAGACACGGAGACTAGGATTCGCAGGGCATCACCCAATGGAGGATGATGGTTGGAAGGGCTGTATTGAGCAATTGGCTGCACTGCACCAGTCATTATCAATGCATTTGATTGAAAGTTTAATAAATTCAGACTGCCGCTTCAATTTCTTCATCTTTGGCATTAATAGTTGGTGTGTAAATTTGAATGATAGTCCTATTAACTGGTGTTCTTGTAGAGATGAGATATTATCCTATCACTGACAGTGTTGTGCTTTAGATCTTTAAATGTACGTTTTTGACAATGACTGCAACACCATTGTTCTTCAACTTGTCATTCTTGGCACAGTAGACCATACATCATCTGATTCACAATGGCCAGTATCTGTTTCAGCTTATCGATCTTTATGTGTTCTATTTCATTTTTGATGACTTCCAGTTTTCTTAGATTCATGCTTCATTCATTCCACATTCCAGTTATTAATGGATCTCTCCAGCTGTTTCTTCTCCTTTTGAGATTTGCCACATCAGCACATGAAGGGCCCAAGAGCTTCACTCCATGCGCGTCCTTTAGGTGGACTGTACCTTGAGGAGGAGCTGTTCCCCGGTCACACAGCCTGGAGGGCTCACCCTCTGGCCGGCGCTGTATCGGACAGTGTCCCACTGCCATTCTTAAGGCTCTCACTGGCCAGTTTTTTCAGAACTAGATCACTGTGTTCTTCTCCCTAACCTGTCTTAATCTGAAAGCTCCACTAAAACCTGTCCACCGTGAGTGACTGCTGGTATGTGAAATACTAATGGCATAGCTTCCAACATCATAGCAACACCCAAGTCACCACAATTCAATAGACTGACACAGGTGGTCAGTCTTCCATTTAAGGAGATAGCAACTTGAAACACAGTCACCCACAGAAATATGCTTCCTACCATATTCACATTTGCACATGAAAACACGTATTTGGACAGTCCTAAGATGGTCCCAAGGGAGCTCTGGTAGCATAGTGGCTAAGACACTTGCCTGCTAACCAGACGGCTGGCGGTTCAAACCCACCAGCCACTCCTCGGAAGGAAGGTTGGGCAATCCTACTTCCGTAGTGATACTGCCTCGGAAACCCAAGGAGGGGTTGCTATGAGCCAGGTTTGACTCGACGGCACATAACAACAACAACAAAGATGGTCCCAAAGCACTCTTATAGCTACCCTGCCCTCATGACATCACCTGACATTATTGGAGCTATTGAAATAGGGAACATGGTGACTTTTTATTAAATATAAATATACAGGAAACAGTGACTAAACCATGTACCCAACATCTGAGGTGAGTTACTTACTATTCTGTCATATTTGTTAAGTTGTGTTTCTTTAATAGAAGATTAGAGCTAAGGTTAGATGGCACTTTCCCTCCCAGAGGGGTTCAGTTTCCTGGTACAGCCTTGTGTCCTTTGTCCCCAGCTCATCACACTGAGACCAAGGAACCTATGAACCAGTGAGGAAGGTGTTCCATGTGACTGACTGCAGGCCTAGCTGAGCCCTCCACCTCGCAGCAGGGGCTTGTTTTTCCTCACACAACAGGCCAACATCAGCCTGGCTCGGGCTCAGCCAGTCCTGTGATTGCCTCTGTGGTTCTTCTAGAACTTTCCCTCATACTTGCAGCTTCCCAACATGAGGACAACCGTACCTTTCCTGTTCACGGGAGAACGACTATCTTTGCCCAAAGCTGTGTACCTTGTCCATCTTCAGACCCAGCAGACCTGCACCAAGGCCTCATCGGCCTGGCCAGACCCAGCTGCTAGTAAGGCTGGGAAATAGTCCGGTTTCCCATCTTCTAGCAGAGGAAGGAGAGGATCCCTGGTGGCACAGTGGCTAAAGTGCTCAGATGCTAATCAGAAGTCATGGTTGGAGACCCAACAGCTACTCCAGGAGAGAAAGATGTGGCAGGCTGCTTCTACAAAGACTGGCAGCCTCGGAAACCCCGTCAGGCAGTTCTAGTCTGTGCTGTGAAGCTGTTGTGAGTCAGAATCCACTTGACTCATGCTGTGGCTTAGCAGAGGGAGGCCCTGGGTGGTTCAGATGGTTAGCATATTTGCTTCCAGTCTACCCAAAGGCTTGGCCATCTACTTCTGGAAAAATCAGCCTTTGGAAACCCTATGGAGCGGTTCTATTTGGACACATGGTGTTGCCAGGAGTCAGAATGTGCCCTCGAGTTCTACAGGGTCACCAGGAGTCAGAAGTGACGACGGTTGCACTTTGGGGTTTGTTTGTTTGTTTGTTTGTTTTTTCTGCCTAGTAGAGGAAGGCGAGGTAGAACGTGCCTGGGGATGAACATTGGCCACTTTATATTGTTGTGTGCCTTCGAGTCCTATAGGGTCACCAGGCGTCAGAATCGACTCTACGGCAACAGTTTGGTGTTTGGGGTTTCAACCATGCAGGGTGCAGTCTGTGTGTCACTAACTTCCACATAAGTAACTGGCTGCAGCGGCTACTCTGCAGTCATTTCATGAAGACAGTGTTTGCACCTGGTACAGCTGACGCTGTTCTCACGAGCTCACAGCTGCACAGTTTGCTGCACATCCAGGCTTACTCTCCTGGCACTGCTGAGGACACGTTCACCCGGTATCCTGTGCACGTGGCTAAGAGGTTATCTGGGGCCAACCCTGGAGGTGAGCTGCTGGGCTAGCTATGTCCTCAACTTCCCTAACTATGGTCAGACTGCTCCCCAGGGACCTCTCCCTGTTGGCGCCTCCAGCAAGGTAAGCGTTCCCACCTCCCCACGTTATGCCACCAGTCACTGCTGCCAGCCTCTGGGGCGAGTGCCAGTGTGATGGGCATGAAGCAGGCGATGCTGCCATTTGTGTCTGCTGGTGACTGGAGGCTGAGCTCAGCCGGGACACACCAGCCTCTCCAGGGTCCACACGTGGATCACTGCAGGACAGCCCGGGCCTGCTTTTCAATTTGCTGCTTTGTTTCTTAGTGATTTGGGTGCATTTTGGACACCAATTCAATTATATGAACCCATCCTGTCTTCAAAAATTGCCAATAACTTCTCCCATCTGTGATTAATCATTTAACTGTGGTATTTTATTGTAACACTTCCATTTTAGATATCTTCATCTTTTATATATTTTCTGGATTCAGCTGTTTAAAGAAAACCTCCTCTACACTCAGGATCAAAAATGTCCCATACTTTCTTAAATTCTGCTGTCCGAGTTTAGGTGTCTACACCCACAGAAGTGTTTTGTGGGGCATGGCGGGAGGTGGAGACCTGACTGTTAACTTGGGCAGCAGTTCTTCCAGAACATTCCTTGAACAGCTCCCATCCCAGCAGTGGCACTCAGCACGTGGCAGGAAAGAACTTCGCTGTTTGTTCTATGGGAGCCACCAAATGGTCTGAAAACCACTGTTGGGGCAGATGGGTTGTCTGAGTGGGCTGCCTGGAAACTCCCTCCCGTTGGTGGTGCCCATTGGCCACTGCCTCTAGCAGCTGTACTGGGACTATTCAGAGTCACATTTACCTGCTCAAGAGATAGCTAGTGACTCCATTCTGTCAATGACCGTGAAGGAAAAATCTCTCCCATCCTCCCAGCCCACCATGTTTCTTGAACTTGGACAAATTTCTCTATTTTGACCCTCAGCAAGATTCTGTGCCAGGCCTCAGTGGGTCCCCTTCCAGCTGTCCAGATGTTTAATAACTTTGGACAATGAGGGGCAGGGAACACAAAGCATCAGGGTCCCCTTTGCCATGTACAATGTGGCTGGGGCTGGAAGTCTGCCTTTCCCTTCAGAGTGGGGCCCAAGCAGAGCCAGGGAGAGCAGCCTCCCCACCGTGTGACCAGGGCCTGGCCATGGCGTGTGCGGAGGCACGTGCGGAAGGGAGACGTGGTAGTTTTCAGGTCCTATAGAGGGCCAATGCATGCATGCCCAGGGGAAAGCGGGATGGGATGCCACTGGGAATAGAGCCACTCCCTCAGCTCCACGGTGGGTTCTGGGTGTCTGAACTCCAGGAGAAGGAAGGGACAGTATGCTGGATATTTAAAAACAAGAACAATGTTTTTCTTATCAATTAATTGGGAATGGTGACACGGCTATGGTGGGATGGGTGGCATGGCCTTAGAGGAGGTGCGGTCCTCCAAGGGGCAGTGACATCGGCATGTGGCCTAGGAAACACTCTCAGGTGCAGCCAGGAGCCCGTGCTGACTGCAGTTGTCCAAGATCTTGAGAGTCTCCAGGGCTGCTTTCCGCACCCCGGGGTCCATGTCCAGCTGGAGCTCCTGGAACGCTGAGTGAGTCAAGAGGGAGAGTCAGGGCCTCCACTCATCGGGTGCTGCCGTGTCCGGACCAGTGTGTGACCTTCAGGACCAGGGTCCCGCCCGGACCAGTGTGTGAGGATTGTCGGGGCCACGGCCCTGCCCTGGTCAATGTGTGCCAACTGGAGGCTGATGTGGCCTGGAAGCTGGACCCCTATGGGCTGCAGCCTGGGACTCACTTGTGTTTGAATCAGAGGCCCAGAGAGGAGCTGGAGGTCCTCAAGTCCTACCCTAGCCGGTACAGGAGGACTGTGCAAGGCCTGAGCTAAGGGGAGACATGAAACCATAGGGAACACCACAGACTCCTGCTGGGAAATCCCTGCAGGGGCTCCTCCACCGCCATGTCTGCCCCCCTCCCCAACCCTCAACACAGCAGACAGTCATCTGGTGCTTCCCTCAGGCGGTGTCACTAGGCTTAGACCCACCAGAGTGGGTTTCCCAAAACAAGTCTTTGTGAGCTGTGGACTCAAACTTAAGAGTCTGCGCTACTCACAGTTTTGTAATGCTGGGAAGTCCAGCTTTTTCAGGTAGCTGGCGGACATCTGCTTCATAATAATTCCTAAGAGAGCCAAAGAAAGGCTCATTGCACGAACGTCAGGGCAGCAGGAAACCGTTCTGCCCTCTGTGTGACAGCCTTGGTTTACCTCATCTGTTCAGGATTTTGTTAGTGAGGAGGAAGCCACATTGGCCATCAAGTATGTGTCAGGCATGGTGACTGGTGGGTACAGAGGTGGGAGCTAGTACCCAGTCCCCCTCCCACCCTTGTCCCTGGGGTCCTATCTACAGTCAATGACTTGGGTTTGATCAGATGGCCTTCAGGATCCACCCCAAGATGGAGAAAGCTGTCTGCTCACCTGCCAAGTTGCAGGCCGCGATTCTGATCCTTGACAAGTTACTTTTCACGTAGGTGACTGTTTCTAGCAAGAAGCTGTAGAGCACAGCTGGCTTTGTCTGAGTCTGCAGAAAATAAGCGGCTCACAGCCCTGGAGGAGGAGCTCTGCGTACCTGCCACTCACAAAGCATTTTCCTGCCTGGCGTCAAGTCCCCGCTCCTGAGGAGGTGTGTCTCATGGGGGCCAAAGAGGACACTGCCGACCCCAGCTTCACACGGCACTTACAGACCTGCCAGCTCATGCTCCCTTCTTGTCTGACCCCAAAGAGGAATACCACATGTGTTCAGATCTGCACTGTCCAATGTGGCAGCCACTGGCCACATGTGGCTCTTGGGCACTTGAAACGTGGCCAGTCTAAATTAAGGGTCAAGTACCTCCTGGAATTTGAAGACAGAACAGACAGAAATAAAAGATCACATTAACCATTCTGTATGGACTAGGTGTTGAGATGATAATGCCTGGGGTTTACTGGGTTCACAGATAAATTGAAGAGGAATGGTGTTACATTCATTGTCAAAAAGAACATCTCAAGATCAACCCTGAAGAATGATGCTATCAGTGATAGGATAATATCCATATGCCTGTAAGGAAGACCAACTAATACAACTATTATTCAAATTTAAGTCAGTATCCTGTACGGATACTAACCACTGAAGCCAAGGATGAAGATGTTGAAGATTTTTACCAAATTCTGCAGTCTGAAATGATCAAACCTGCAATCAAGATGCACTGATAATTACTGGTGATTCAAATGTGAAAGTTGGGAAAAAAAAGAAGGACCAGTAGTTGGAAAATATGTCCGTGGTGATGGCAATGAGGCTGGAGATTGCATGATAAAATTTTGCAAGCGCAATGACTTATTCATTGAAAATACCTTTTTTGTAACAACATAAACAGCAACTGTACCCTTGGACCTCACCAGATGGAATACACAGAAATCATATCAATTGCATCTGTGGAAAGAGGCAATGGAGAAGCTCTATATCTTCAGTCAGAACAAGGCCAGGAGTTAAGTTTTGAAAAGACCATCAGTAGCTCATATGCTAGTTCAAGTTAAAGCTGAAGACAATTAAAGCAAGTCCACAAGAACCAAACCACTACCTTGAGTATATCCCACCTGAATTTAAATACCATCTCAAGAATAGATTTGATACATTGAAAACTAATGACCAAAGACCAGACAAGTTATGGGATAATACCAAGAACAGCATATATGAAGAAAATTAAAGGTCATTAAAAAGACAGGAAAGGAAGAAAAGACCAAAATGGATGTCAGAAGGGACTCTGAAACTTGCTCTCAAACAGAGTAGCTAGAACAAAAGGCAGAAATGAAAAGATAAAAGAGCTGAACAGAAGATTTCAAAGGACAGCTTGAGGAGACAAATTAAAGTTTTATAATGAAATGTGCAAAGACCTGGAGTTAGAAAACCAAAAGGGAAGAACACGCTCAGCATTTCTCAAGCTGAAAGAACTGCAGAAAAATTTAAGTATTGAGTTGCAATGCTGATGGACTCATGGACAAAATATTGAAGAATGCAGGAAACATCAAAAGAAGATGGAAGGAATACACAGAGTCACTAAATGAAACAATTGGTTGAAAAAAAAAACAACTAGTTGATGTTCAATCATTTGGAAAAAGCCAAAACCAAGCCCATTGCTGTGGAGTCAAATTCTACCTCACAACAACCCTATAGGACAGAATAGAACTTCCTCATAGTGTTTCCAAGGCTGCCACATCTTTCTTTCATGGAGAGGCTGGTGGGTTTGAACTGCTATTCCTTCAGTTAGCAGATAAGCATTTTAACCAATGTACCAATAGAGCTCTATCAACCATTTCAGGAGTGATCAAGAACTGATAGTGTTGAAGGAGGAAGTCCAAGCCACACTGAAGGAACTGGCATGAAATGAGGCTCCAGGAATTGATGGAATATCTGTTGAGATGTTTCTACCAATGGATGCAGTGCTGGAAGCATTCACTCATTTATGCCAAGAAATTTGGAAGACAGCTACCTGGCCATCCAACTGGAAGAGATCTATGTATGTGCCCATTCCAAAAAAGGTGATCCGACAGAATGCAGAAACTGTTGAACAATATTATGATTATCTATGCAAGTAAAATTTTGCTGAAGGTAATTAACAGGAACTACCAGAAATCCAAGCCGGATTTAGAAGAGGACATGGAATGAGGAATACCAAAGTCAGACGGATCTCGACTGTAAGCAGAACTGAAGGATGCTTACCTGTGTTGTATCAACCATGCAAAGGCATTTGACTGTGTAGATCATGACAAATTATGGATAACGCTGTGAAGAATGGGAATTCCAGAACACTTAAGTATGCTCATGTGGAACCTGTACATAGGCCAATAAGCCAAGAGACAGTTGTTCTAACCGAACAAGGGAATATTGGTTTAAAATCAGGCAAGGTATATATCAGGGTTGTATCCTTTCATCATACTTATGCAATCTGTATGCCAAGTAAATAATCTGAGCACCAAATCAGGGAAAAAAAAAAAAAAAAAAAAAACCTATAAAAAGAAGAGTACAGCATCAGGATTGGAGAAAGACTCATTAACAACCTGAAATATGCAGATGACACAACCTTGCTTGCTAAAAGTGAAGAGCACTTACTGATGAAGTTCAAAGAGTACAGTCTTCAGTATGAATTACACCTCAAAATAAAACAAAAATCCTCATAACTGGACCAATAAGCAGTATTATGATAAATGGAGAAAAGATAGAAGTTGTCAAGGATTTCATTTTACTTGGATCCACAATCAACATCCATGGAAGCAGCAGTCCAGAAATCAAATGATGTTTTGCATTGGGCAAATCTGCAAAAGACTTCTTTAAAGTGTTTGAAAGCAAAGATGTCACTCTGAGGACTAAGGTACACCTGACCCAAGCCATGGTATTTTCAGTCACCTCATATGTATTCAAAGGAGCTCTGGTGGCATAATGAGTAAGGCACTTGGCTGCTAACCAAAAGGTTAGTGGTTCGAACCCACCAGCTGCTCCGTGGAAGGAAGATAGGGCAACCTACTTCCATAAAGAACCCAGTGGGGGTCGCTATGAATTGCAATCAACTTGATAGCAATGAGTTTGGTTTTGATTTTTTGTCATATGCATTCAAAAGCTGGACAATGAGTAAGGAAGCCCAAAGAACTGATGCCTTTGAATTATGGTGTTGGTGAAGAATATGAAATATACAATGGCTTGCCAGAAGGACAAACAAATCTGTCCTGGAAGCAGTGCAGCCGGAGTGCTCACTGGATGCAAGGACAGTGAGACTCTGTCTCATGTGCTGAGGGCATGTGATCAGGAGGGACCGGTTCCTGGAGAAGGACGTCATGCTTGGTAAGGAGATTGTCAGCAAAAAAGAGGAAGCCCCTCAATGGGATGCATTGACACAGTGGCTGCAACAATGGGTCAAACACAGCAATGATCGTGAGGCTGGGGCAGGACCAGGCCAGGTTTCCTTCTGTTATGATAAGTCCCCTGTGAGTGAGCACCACTCACCCCACGTGGCTATCTCACCAGGATGGAGCACATGGTGGTCTGGAACACTGTCATCTCGTCCGTGCTGGGGGCACTCTGCCCAGGGGGGCTCTTCAGGCCCTTGTAGCCCCAGAAATGCAAGCACTGGAACACGGTCTCCATGCAGGCCTGGGAAGGACACGCACAGTAGGACAGGTGCCAGGCAGGACCAGGGTGAGTCACAGAGGGGTGGGGGCGGCAGGGCCAGTGTTCCATCAGCAAGCAGCCCCAGGAAGGTCTTAGAAGCTGGGGAAGGCAGGGCTGGTGGGCTGTGGAATGCCCATATGTGGATTTATTACGTGGCTTGCACCTGTTCCTGGGGGGGATGAGAACAGTGAAGTGCTCAGCTGCTAACCAAAAGGTTGGGGATTCCAGTCCCCTGAGAGGTATCTGGGAAGGAAGACCTGACAAACTCCTTTGAAATACTCAGCCGCTGAGAACTCTATACAGCACAGTCCTACAGTGTGAGGTGGCCAGGAGTTAGAGTTAACTACACGGCGAGAGGTTTTGTGGGGCAGGTGCAGCCCTACACCAAGCCACACTCACCTCTTAGCCAGGGCTTCACACCCTCAACAGCCCTGCTGGGACCTACCCCTCAAGGACCTGGAACCGGAGCCTGGGCTGGAGTCTTTCAGGGTTTGGGGAAAACTTCTGTTCCTTCCAGATCCATCCTGCTTTCTCACCCTGGGCATTGCGGCAATCTCTCCTCTGGCTTCCGGGTAGGTTGGGCCATGGGGGACCAGGTATTGGACGACAGCACTGGGGCATATGGACCCAGGCTGGGAGTGTCCGCTGCCCCTCCTTGGCTTCCCATTACCTGACTGCCCCTTGTGTGCCTCCATCACTGATTGTCCCCCCTCAGGGCGTCACTTTTAAAGTGTGGACAAACGGGCCCGCTGGCCAGGGAACAAGGGCTGGGACTGATGCGGAAGAGGGCGCCCAGGTGGTGGCACTTCCCGCCCGAGTCACAGCGACCCCAGCCAGGCCTGGACCCCACAACACAGGAGGTGCCTCTGGAGTGTACGGGCAGGGCGGTGGGACGGGCACAAAGGCTCCAGGGTGGGGGATGCGACAAGAAGCAACCCCACCTCCCCGAAGGCCACATAGATGCCCCCGAAACCTTCAGCCCTCGGCCCCAGCACCGCGTGACTTGTCTTCTGAGGGCCACATAGATCTCGAGGGACCGGGGTTACTCTGGGGCCTCTGACCATCCCTTCTCTAGAAGGGCCTTGTGCTGAATCAGCCCCAGGCCAAACCGTCCCACGGGTGAGGTGGGTCAGAGGGTTTAAAACATGTCGTGGGGCCTGCGCTTGAGGAGAGAGAGGGTGTGGGTGTCTGCAGGCAGTGACAGAAAAAACAAACCATGCTGTGTTCTGTCCCAAATGGCTGAACACTAAGACAGTCGGCATCAAGCCCGTCCCATCTGCTGGCGACCCCGTGTGTGTCAGAACCGCGCTCACAGGGTTTCAGCCGCTGGTCTTTCAGAGCCAATTACCAGGACTTTGTTCTGAAACGTCTCTGTGTAGACTCAGACCCTAACCTTTCATTTAGAAGTCGAGTGTGGTCACTGTTTGAACCAGCCAGGGCCTCCTCCACAGTTAGATTCTAGTAAACTGGTCTGTGGGTCGTCTGGAGGTGAGGGTCTAGCAGACGGTGACATGTGGACTCTCAGGGAAGCCCGCAGCCAATCGAGGCAGCAGGCCTGAGGAGCAGGGGTCCCCGGCTTTGGGCCCCGGGAGCTGCGGGTCTTACTGTGGCTGCCCAGGAGCAGGGGTCCTGGCAGTGCAGCAGCAGGGGCACCCAGGCCTTCTTCACCTCCAGCTTGAAGAGGTGCTTCTTGGATATGCCGACCACCGTGGCCAGCCTCCGGAAGAGCGTGAAGGCTTTAAATCGCAGCAGCTCGCTCTCCTGCGGCCGAGAGACAAGCCCGGTGAGAGGCTCCAGGAGCAAGATGCCCCACACGCCCCTGCCACTCCTTATGGACCATTCTAGACCCCTGCCCGCTCTGGAGGCCTTCTAGATCCTTCCATGGGGACGGAGTAGCTCTCAAAGGATCAGGCATTACTCTGGAGTCAGTGACCGTCTCTCCCCAAGAGAGGGGCACGTGCTGAACACGGGTCCACGCCACCATCCGGCAGAGGGCCTGGCATGCCGTAGATGGTCAGAAAGTATTTGTGGGCTCGAAGAAATCAGGGGGATGCTCACTCCCTGACGGTCGGAGAGAAGGGCCCCGTGAGTCCTCAGCTCCACCTGCTGGGTCTCGGGGACCTAGAATACGTTGTGTCCACAAGATCCCATCATCAGCCACCACACATCTGCACCAAGCAGGACCTGGAGCCCCCTGTGGTACGAACAGCTAATGCGCTCAGCAGCTAACTGAAAGGGTAGGGGTTCAAGTCCACCCAGAGGCAGCCCAGGAGAAAGGCCTGGTGATCAGCTTCTCAAGAATCAGCCGAGACCCCGTGGAGCACGGTTCTACTCTGACACACGTAGGGGCTCCGTGAGTCCGAGCTGATTTGACGGTTTTCCCAGCAGACCCGGGGCCCTTTCTGCTCTAGGAAACATCTTTCCCTGGGCCCCAAGTGCCACCCACTCACACACGGGCCTGGCAGGGCTGGCAGGCCCCCGTCTGGACTCACGTTGTCGAAGAAGGCCCTGCACTGCTCAGAGATGGCGGCCAAGGATGGCCCCACGTCCCCTTCCCGGAGCTCTGCCAGGACTTTGGTCAGGGCGGCCATGGCCTCGGAGGCCACGCTGGGGCTGGCGGGTGCCCGCAGGGAACACAGGAACTTCTCCAGCAGGAGTTTCCGGTACTTCTTCACCTGGACGGGCGCAGGGCCTCAGCCGTCACCACGAGGCCCAGGGTGACCAGAAGCTCCTGCTCTGTGCCTCAGTGGGCACAGGCCCCACCACCCAGCTTCCACCCCAGGGCCGGGCTCGGCGAGTGTGGTCCCCACCACCCAGCTCCAGGGGGCTGCACCCCAGGGCCTGGCTCGGCGAGTGTGGTCCCCACCATCCAACCTCCACCCCAGGGCCGGGCTCAGCGGACACCGTCCCCACCACCCAGCTGCAGGGCCCTGTAACCTGTCTCAGCAGCAGCCCTAGGGCAATGTGGTACCTTCTTGGGGGCGCCGAGGGCAATGTTGCCAAGGGCACGCAGGGACAGTACCCGCAGAGCCTCGTCCTCCTGATCCACACCTCTTTCCAGCATGGACACTGCAGGCTTCAGCAGCTTCTCCTGGTACAGAATCGGGTCGCTCATGAACTAGGAAGGAGAACCTCGTAAGCTCCCTGCCAGGAGGAGCTCGATTCTCAGCAGGGAGTGGGGTACCTGGTTAGATCCGATGCCCAGAACGGCCCTCTGGGAGGAGGATCAACTCAGGGCTCATCCTCCACCAGCTGGGGAACTCCAGCCAGTCACTTACCTGCTCTTTGTCTCAGTTTCTCATCTGCATAAACACATAAACCTGTTGCCGTTAAGTCTGTTCTGACTCATGGCAAGCCAGGGAGTTACAGAGCAAAACTGCGCCCTAGAATTTTCTCATCTTTAAGGAAGCAGATCAGCCAGGCTTTCTTATTCCGCTCCACTGGGTGAGTTTGAACTGCCAACCTTTGTGTTACTAACCAAACCAAAACCAAACTCACTGCCGTCAAGTCGGACCTGACTCATAGTGACCCCTCCTTGGGTTTCCAAGGTGGTATCTCTACAGATAGATTGCCCAACCTTCCTCCTGAGGAGTGGCTGGTGGATTTGAACCGGCAGCCTTCTGGTTAGCAGTCAGGTGCCTTAAGCACTAGGCCACCAGAGCCCCCTTTGTGTTACTGGTGGAGAGCAAATTGTTTGTACCACTCGAGGACCTTCATCTGTAAACAGGGTGTAATGACAGAGCCTACCTCCCAGGGTTGTCGTGAGGATTCAGTAAGTCAACACATGGGTTACACTACATGGGTGTGACCTGTGTGCATGCATTCATTCGTCATCACTTCTTGTTACATGACACAGCAGCTCCTGTGTGCAAGCACTGTGCCACTCAGTCTGCACAGAAACACAGAAGTAGAATTTCATGTCTTTGGGATACAGAGCCCTGCTGGCACAGTGGTTAAAGTGCTCGGCTGCTAACCAAAATCAGTGGCTTGAACCCACCAGCCACTCTGTGGAACAAAGATGTGGCAGTCTGCTTCCATAAAGCTTGACAGCTTCGGAAGCCCTCTGGGGCAGTTCTACTCTGAACTCCAGAGGCACTGTGAGTCGGAATCAACTCCACAGCAGTGGGTTTGGTTTGGGCTTTGCTGCCGTAAATATTTACAGCCTTAAAAACCCTGTGGGGCAGTTCCACTCTGTCCTCTAGGGGCGCTGTGGGTCAGAATCGACTGGAGACCAACAGGTTTTTTTTTTTTTTTTTTTTCTGGGAGGGGAGGCAGTGCATACAGAGAGTCACTACCAGCCTTGTACCAGCCTCAAAAGCTGGGACCTCAGACCAGTGGGGACCTCTTTGATGTGTGGGCACATCTGTGTGTGCGTGTGTGTGTGCGTGTGTGTGTGCGTGTGTGTGTGAAATAGCTCTAAAGAAAACTAGGGGCAGCGGTGGTCCAGTCATGGAATTCCCCTCTATGCAGACGCCGCAGGTTGGCCTCCCAGCCCATGCACCTCATGCCCAGCCTCCACCTGTCTGTCAGTCGAGGCTGGCATGTTGTTCTGACGCTGAACAGGTTTCAGCAGAGCTTCCAGACTGAGATGGACTAGGAAGAAAGGGCTGGAGATTCACCGACTGAAAATCAGCCAGTGAAACCCCATGGTTCACAACAGTGTTGTTAACGGAGTCGCTGTCAGTCAGGGGCCGACGTGACAGCAGCTAACCAACAACAAAGAAAACTCCACACCAAGCTGGTGACCCAGGGACAGGAGGCAAGAAAGAAGCTAGTCTGTTGCCGGCTCCTTACACCCCGTCAGGCGCTGGCTCTCTAACCCCCACATGCTCACTGCCTCCACCTCTCTCTCCCTCCAGCGTCCCCTTCCTACAGTGCCATACTTCAAATGTTTATTGAGCACCGATTATGGACCAAGCCTCTTGTTGTTGGATGGCAGTGAGTCAATTACAACTCATGGTGATGCCACAGGACAGAGTAGAACTGTCCAATGGGAGTTCAAGGCTGTCACACCCTATTTTAAATACTCTTCAGAATGAAGTCCAAGCACGCATTTAAAAATCGTTTCATCATCCAGCCCTAGCTACTTCTGAAGTATTTCAATAACTTGTGTTTCAGAAGCTGAAAGTAATCTTCCAAAAGTAATAATAATAATGAGTTCACTTTCCAAGAGTGCTCACCATGTGGCTTGGCTGTGTGTGCTGGCCCCTTGGGAGAACACTGTCTCCTTTAATCTTCGCCAAAATCTGGAGAAGTAGGTGCTGTTATCCCTGGGTTAGCAGATGCAGAGGTTGAAATGCAGGGAGTTTAAGAACCGGCCTGGGCACTGAGGCGCCAGCACCAGCTTCTTGCCCCCGTATGAGGGTTATATACCAGACAAACCAGAGGAGCCAGTCCTTGAGTGAGACAGCAGGGGCCCTCTTCTTCCAACCATCCTTACAAGGTTTCCAGAGGAGGCACGATCGGAGGCACCAGCGAACATGCAATGGCTCGGCTTGTAAAAGCCTTGAGAAAAGTCCAGAGCAAAGAGTGAAGGAAATCAAAGCTGTAAGGGAACAATGAATCCAAAGGACTGATGGAGTGTGTGAATCCTGGCCTCCATGACTCTGAGACCAGAAGAACTAGATGGTGCCCAGCTACCACTGCTGACAGCTCTGAAAGGGATCACAGTAGAAGGTCCAAGATGCAGTAGAAGAAAAGTGTGGAGCAAAACTCAACATCATAAAAATGACCAGGCTCACTGGGCAGGTAGACACTGGTGGAAACCCCAAAAATATGGCCCTAGGACACCCTTCCAACCTGAACTCAGTCCCGTGGCTCAACTTTCAGCCAAACGACAGACAGGTCTATGAGGTGAACGGTAACACCAGGGAGGTACACACTCCTTACAACAATCAACCATATGACATCAGAAGGGCAGCATTTGCCCAGGGAGAAAGTTCAGGAGACAGGAAGGTATAGGAAGGAAGGATGAAGGGAAGTGGTGACCACAGGGAGGAAGTGGGAAGAGTGCTGTTACCCTGTGTTGAAAACAAGAAAAAGCCATGGGAAAGCTGCTCGCATGGATCTCGCTCTCAGCCACAGCCTCTCCCCATCCCCCGGTCCCTCGGAACCACTCATCTCCTTTTGTCCCATATCATTTGTCTACTCCAGGTGCTTCACTGAGAATTAAAGGAGGTATGGACTTCCCACCTGGCTCTCCCGCATGGAAGGTGAAGACCCTACTGCTGGACCACCCATGCCCCCGGTTTTCAGTAGGGCTGTTTAATAAGACACTTCATATCCTAGCTGTTTCATGGGATCATGCACCATGTGCCCTTTTGTGTCTGGCTTATTTCATTCGGCATGATGTTTTCAAGGTTCATTCATGTCATAGCATGCAATGGGACTTCCTTTCTCCTCCTGGCTGAGTAATATTCCATTGTATGTACATATTACATAGTTTACCCATTCACCTTTTGATGGACATCTGGGTGGTTTCTGCCTTTTGGCTCTTGTGGACAATGCCACAGTGAAGATTCCCATACAATTATCTGTCTGAGTCCCTGCTTTCAATTCTTTGGGGAGTGAGAATTCTACCCAGGAGTGGAATTGCTGGGTCATACAGGAACACTATAGGAGCTCTGGTGGTGTAGTGCCTAAGGGATTTGACTGCTAACCAGAAGGCTGGGTGGGTTTAAACCACCTCCTAGGAAGGAACACTGGGCAATCTACTTCTGTAGTGTACAGCCTCGGAAACCCAAGGAGGGGTCGCTATGAGTGGGAACCGACTCGATGGCAGTGAGTTTGGTTTTTTGGGTTTTATGGGAACACTATGAGTAATGTTTTTAGGAACCTCCACACCATTTTCTGAGGTGGCTGCACTGTTTGACATTCCCACCAGGAATGGATGAGGGCCTCAAAATTTGTCATTTCTTCCATTTTTTGGAAAGGAAGCTCTGATGGCGTAGTGCCTAAGGCACTTGACTGCTAACCAGAAGGCTAGTGGTTCAAACCCACCAGCCACTCCTCAGAAGGAAGATGGGACAATCTACTTCCATAGAGATACCACCTCAAACCCAATGGGGGTTGCTATGAGTAGAAATAGACTCAATGGCAGTGAGTTTTTTGGTTCTTGGTCCATTTTTTGGATAACACCCATCCTAGTGGGTGTGAGGTGGCATCTCACTGCAGTCCAGATTTGCATTTCCTAAGGACTCATGACACTGAGCATCTTTCCATGTGTTGACTGGCCATTAAGGAGCTCTTAGGCATAGTGCCTGCAACAAAAGGAGGCACTATGCCTAAGAGCTCCTTAATGGCCAGTCAACACATGGAAAGATGCTCAGTGTCATGAAGGGTTGGGCAATCCTACTTCTGTAGTGATAACTGCCTCGGAAACCCAAGGAGGGGTCACTAGGAGTCGGGGCCGACTCGATGGCAAATAACAACAACAACAGGCATAGTGCCTAAGGCATTTGACTGCTAACCAGAAGGTTGGCAGTACAAACCCACCAGCCACTCCTCGAAAGGGAGACTGGGCAATCTATTTCTGATTGTGTATCTTCTTTAGAGAAACATCTATTTCAGTCTTTTGCCTACTTTTTGATTAGGTTGTTGCTGGTCCTTTTGTTGTTTTCATATTTTTAAATGATTGGAGGAAACCTAAAGAAGAATACTCCATGACACTTGAAAATTATATGTACGTTAAATGTCAGTCCATTGATAAAGTTTTATTGGAACACAGCCACGCCTGTTGGTTATGGATTGTCTATGCTTTAGAGCTACAGCAGTGGAGTTGAGCCATTGCAACTAAGACTGCATGGCCCAGAAGATCAAATATGTTTACCAGCCAGACATTTACAAAAATATTTGCTGACCTCACCACTAGCCTGTTGTTTAGTTCCTATGGTGTATTGGGCACCATGCAGTCAAGAAACCTTCTAGAATTTTCTGGCCAGTTCTCTTAGGATCCTGTGAGCACTCCAACTGTAAAAGGAAGCTGGGCCCAAGTGCTGTAGCCCCCCTCCTAACCCTCCTGCCTGGCGAAGCCCTGTTCACTGTTCAGCGGCCTCCTTGCAGGGCACCTTCCCGCGGTGTCCTTTCCAGCGAGAGTCCCAGGGCTTCCTCCAGGATCCTCAGGTGTTGGTGGCACTCTTCACATCTCACATCCATTACTGCTCTGCCCTGATCCCTCCCGAGGGTGCCCGTGCCCACCCTGTGCCCGCCACCTGCTGGGCGCCTCACTTCCACACACACCGCCGTGCTGCTGATACGGCAGCTCAGGACGGCCGTGTCCATGCCCCTGAGCACCAGCTCCGACAGCCGCTGCCTGGAGCCTTCCATGTTCTGCAGACACAACCTGTGGGGAGAGATGGGCTGCTCTCATTGAGAGCCCAGCAGCTCCGGGGCTGACGGTAAGCAGACCCTTAGCCTCCCCGGCCTCTGCCTCCTCGCTTGGGGGTGCGGGTGGGGTGTCAGGCTATCGCTGAAGTACTTACATTCCATCTCCCTTTCATCCCAGGGGACTGGGATGAGGCCGCTCACAAGTGACCAAAAGGAAAACCAAACCAGCTGCTGCCGGTCAACTCAGACTCGTGGCAACCCCATGTGTGTCAGAAGACTGAGTTCTGTCGGGTTTTCTTTTAATTGTATTTATTTTGTAGTTGCTGAGAAAATACGCAGTGAAACATACACCCATTCAGCAGTTCTTCATGTCCAGTTCAGTGACATTGATTCTGTTCTTTGAGGTGTGCAACCATCCTCACCCTCCTTCCCTGAGTAGTTCCGCCCCTGTTAACATGAAGTCACTGCCCCGAGGGTTCCCGTCTAATCTTTCAAGTTGCTGTTGTCATTCGATCCCATGTGGGTAGATCTTATAAGAGCATAGTGCTCAGAACGTTCTTTGCTAGCCAAGCTAAACTGCTGTTGGGGTTTCAGAAGATGTCAGGGGATATTCTGGGTGTAAGTTTTAAAGATGCTCTCAGGGCAATCGTTTCAGGGATTCATCCAGCCTCCATGGTGCCAGAAAGTCAGGAGTCCATGAGGATTTGAGATTCTGTTCTGCATTTTCCCCCTTCTGATCAGGATTCTTCTATAGAATCTTTGATCAAAGTGCTTAGTGATGCTAGCCTGGACCATCCAGATCTGGTCTCATGGCAAAGGAGGAAGCTGTTAATAGAGGAAGTTGACCACACATTCCATTTCCTCCTCCTGTTTCTGATCCATAGGGCTTTTCATGGCTGACATTTTGGAAACAGATTGTCAGTCCTTTCTTCTGAGGTGCTTCTGAATAAATTCAAACTGCCAACCTTTCAGTTAATCATTTGCACTAAGCAGGGACTCCATGAATGACTACTTTTACTCATTACTCACTGCCATTGAGTCAATTCCGACTCAAAGCGACCCCCATTGGGTTTCCACGGCTATAAATTTTTATGGAGGAGCTGATGGAGTAGTGCCTAAGGCACCTGACTGCTAACCAGAAGGCTGGCGGTTCAAACCCCCCAGCCACTCCTCAGAAGGAAGGTTGGGCAATCTACTTCCGTAGAGATAGTGCTTTGGAAACCCAAGGAGGGGTCGCTATGAGTCGAATTGACTCAATGACAGTGAGTTTGGTTTGGTTTTGGGAAATTTTTATGGAAGCAGACTGCCTCATCTTTTTTATATGGACCAGTTGGTGGGTTCCAATCACCAACCTTTTGGTTAACAGTCAAATGCCTTAACCACTGGACTTCCAGAGCTCCTTCCATGCATGATTAAGACCAGGGAAATAGCTCCCTCCCTGGCCCTGCTCCAGGGCCCCTGTGTGTTCTTGAGCAAATGCCCTGCTCTCTCAGAAACTCTCTTCATTTCCTGCTGTGCGACAGGAGGAGACAGAATGAAAGCATGCAGCAAACCTTTAAGTGCTCGGCTGCTCACTGAAAGGTTGGCAGTGCGAGTCCACCCACAGGCGCCTAGAAAGAAAGGTGATGATTGAAAGCCCTGTGCAGCCCAGCTCTATTCTGGTACACGTGGGTCACCGTGAGCCCAAGTCAACGGGACAGCAACCAGACTTGGGATTGTCCCGCACAGCACTGCCATGGTCGAGTCTGGAACAGGGAGCAGTTGGACGGAACGTAGGATCATATGGCTATTCCCCAGAAATGAGGGTTCGGCCCTGACCCGGACAGTGTCCCTCCAGGTGAGGGGACCCTTCCCTCCGGCAGGCAGTGCCGGTAGCACCCCCACCTATGAGAGCCTGGCCCACCCACCTGGCGAGCAGGCCCACGCCTTCCAGGAACGTCTTGCTGTTCTCCAGCAGGCTCCACACACCCTGTTCCTCCAGGCCATGCACCAGGTGCCGGCTGTTGACTCTCTTGAACAAAAGCTGCATGGATTTGATGGTGATCCTGGAAGAAGGTGGGCATATGGTGTACTTCCTCTGGGGGTGAGCAGCGGACATAGGTGGCAGAGCTAGGGGAGGGGGCGTCTTTCTCTGTGGCTGCTGTTGCTACGCTTGGAACCTTGGGCCCCTGGTTTGTGAAATGGGCTCATGGTGCCTTCTGGGCCTAGCCCAAGGGGTAAAGGCGTGATCCCGTGACAGGAGTCTGCAAAGCCCAGGAAAGCACGCCATGCTGGACACCTGGAAGACCAGGATGTAAGCCTGGCTTCTGTAATCCCCTCCTGCCCCCAGGAAAGGACAATGAGCGGAACTTGCTGGAGATGGCCCACGGAGTCTAGTGGCTTGTGAGAGGCAGCCCGGGCCGCATCCAGCCGGGCCTGCTGACGGGCACCCCATAAGCCCCTTCCGTCCATCCCACCGCCCATGGGAGCACCTTTGCAGGTTCATGTCCTCAGGCAGGGCCCTTGTGTGCACCAGTCTCCATGTCTTCAGGACTGGGGACGCAGCCTCGGGCTCGTGGCTGCTGCCAAGCTGCAGAAGGAGGGTGTAGACGAGGTCCGGGAGGAGGTCCGGGAGCTCCTCATCCTGGTCCACCTTCTCCACCAGGAGGCGGATGGTGTGGAGGGTCTGAGGAGAAGGGGCCGCAGGCGTCGGGGCTCTGCTCCTGCAGCCCCAAGGAGCCCCCGGCCGGTCCCTGCCACTCACCATCAGGGGGTCCACGGCAGCCAGCCGCCACATGTCAGCCTTGGAGGTGGCGTTTGCCCGAGGGCTGAACCGCGCCTGGAGCCGGCCCATCAGGCCGTGGAGCATCGTCCGTGCGAAGGGCACATTCTCTGCCACGGCCAGCCACACCTCAGTCAGGTGGCTGACAAAGACAGACAAAGGACTGTGGGTTTCTGGCCTTGTGGCCTCTCAGGTTGAAGTCCCTTCCCACCTCTCGGCAACCCCCAGAGTAGAGGTTGAACCCTGGAGTCTCAAGGAGGTGGAGCAGCCCACCTAGAGGTGTATGATTAGAACCCAGGTCCCTGACTCCACCTGGTACAGAGACCTGAGCCCCAGTCTGACTCAGCTCCCAGCTCACAGTACCCTAGGATTGGCCACAGCCCCCAGGAGTGCCAGCCCTACCTCACAGGTGACCCTGGAGGTCCCCACCAGGCCCTGCCTGACACCTTTATGGATAGGCCCAATAACAGCTTCTGTGCAGTAAAGCCTGGTGCTAGGCAGCTTGCTTATGCCATTCAATGCTCTTTGAAGAAGATATTTTTGCCTCCAAATCTCCATGTTCTACAGAAGAGGAAATCGAAGTTTCCAGAAGTCCGGTAACCTAAACACTACAATCAGAAACGGCCTTTCCTAAAGGTTGGTGGTTTGATCCCATCCAGTGGCTCCATTGGAAGAAAGACCTGCTGATCTGCTTTTGTAAGGATTACAGCCAAGAAAACTGTATGGAATGGTTCTACTTTATACCACACAGGGTCATCATGATTCAACAGCAATGAATGTTTCCTTATTCCCAAGCTGCTAACCGAAACATTGCCAATTCAAATCCACCCAGAGGAAGGGCCTGGTGGTCTATTCTGAAAAATCAGCCATTGAAACCCTATGGAGTATAGTTCGACTTTGACACACATGGGATTGTTGTGAGTTGGAATCAACTCCCCGGCAATTGGTTAGTTCTGGTTTATGCTGGAGGAACCAGACCTCAGCACCAGAGGGCACCCGGAAGCGCTGTTCTCTGCAGGGGAGTAGTAATGGGCTCTTGGGTGCTGCCCCAGAGGGGACAACCAGGACAACAGGAGAAGCAAAAATAACCCACCCTTGCTGTTGAGTCAATTCTGACCCCTAGTGACCCTCTAGGGCAGAGTGGAACTGCCCCATAGGGTTTCTAAGGCTGTAATCTTTATCCAAGCAGACTGCCACATCTTTCTCCTGGTGGCTTTGAACCGCCAACCTTTCACTTGGCACCCGAGCACAGCACCACCAGGATTTCAGGTCCATGTGACAAAGCTGTAGAAGTCAGGGCTCTGGGTTGTGGGATCCCCCCCACAGGAGACAAGACAAAGGGGTGACTGACCCATCTCAGGGCTAGACAAGATACCAAATATTTAAAGCCCCCATCTTTTGGGATGTGTCGATGGGGGTCAGTTCAGCATGGCGTGGGCAGTGGTATCACTAGGGTTGGTGTCACTCAGTGCAGGAACTCATGGTGTCACATTACCTCCCATGGACCTCTCCTCGTACCAGACCATACGGAAAGATCCTTTATAATATATAGTATAAATTATAATCATAGAATAATGCGTGACAAATAGAGTTGTAAATTGCTTAAATGTACCTAGTTCCTAGATTATGTGTATGAATACTAACAATGTTATTTTGTAAAATCTTTCTACATTGAATGACATTATTGGTTACCACATTATTAGTAACTGAGGGCAAGTCGTTTTTTATTTTTCTCCTTTTTTTCCTTTAATGATGATCTCAAAGTTATTGATATAAGCACACAAATACTACTTATCACAATAGAGTAGCTAAAACACCAGAAAATTTTACAAAATCAGCGACTATAAAAACACCAGCCAAAAAAAAAAAAAAACCAACTCACTGGCATCGTTTCAAATCTGACTCATAGTGACCCCTCCTTGGGTTTCTGAGGCAGTATCTCTACAGAAATAGACTGCCCAGTCTTCCTTCTGAGGAGTGGCTGATGGGTTTGAACCCCCAGCCTTCTGGTTAGCAGTCAAATCCCTTAGGCACTACGCCACCAGAGCTCCCCAACAAAAACAGGCTGTGTTTGCATCATGTGCAGATGAAACCACATGACTCAAAGCATCATTGTGGAGCTCATTAGAAGTTTCAAACAGTAAATTAGCATAGAATTTGAGCCTTGTAGGTATACTGATACATGTAAGCTGGGCTTATGAAAAATGTTTTTGTTGTTATAACTAACTACAAGGATTTTTTTATAAAAAATAATAAATTTCTGCTGAAACACTGCACAGAATTATATAGACAGTCATTTTGGTGTCACTCACTCTGATGTGTCACCCGATGTGGTCTGCACCCCCGAACCCCTCTAGTGACACCCCTGGGCTTGGGCCATGGCCATGGCCGCTGTGGCCCAGGGCACCTACCTCTGCATGGGCAAGGGCTGTCGCAGGAGGGACGTGAGGACTGTCTCCTGGTGGTAGTGCGCCAGCAGCAGGATGCCTTCAATGAGGAGATGCCGTACCTCCAGGTGGTCCACCACTGGCAGGTGGGTCAAGATGGAGCCCAGGATCTCTGCCACCTGGGGGGACCGGGGCATCATGGGGCCAGCCTGGACCCATTGACCTCCTGCCCTCACCCCAAGGACCCTTGACTGATTGGATGACAGGGAGGTTAACCATCCAGCACCCTTTTGTGTATCCTTTGGTTTATTCCTGAACTAATTGTATTAGGTTTTCGGTATGGGAGGTGGTGTGGGCTCTGGGAGAGAGAGCCATGGGCCTCAAGCCTATCCCCTACTTACCCTCCAGGTTGCTTTCAATGAGTTTCTCTCTCGTTCTAGAACCCTACTTCCTCCTCCTCAACAACCAGGGCCTTGAGGGAGATACTCTCAGAGAGGACAGGAGGGGCCCCGCCTGATTCTAGTCTCAGGCCTGGTCCTTTCCATGGGCCAGGCAGCCCCACCCGCATGGCAGCCCTTGCCCGAGCTCTGCCACCTTGTCCTCCAGCTCCTTGACTCGCATCTGAAGGAAGGTGCCTATCCAGGTGACGGAGGCCTTGTCGTGCTGGAGATCCATGGCCCCAAGGTTCTCACAGAGCTTCTGGATGAGCGAGACCACCTCATCGCAGTTAAACTCCATGCACACCACCTAGGACCAGAGCAGGCCCTCATGGGGGTCAGCATTCAAGGCCTAAGCCACCTCTCACACCCCAGCCTCCCCTCAGTTCAACCTTACCTCACAGGCCTCATCCTCTCCCACTCAAACTATCCCACAGCCCCCTCCTGGATCCCAGCCTGCCTCTCAGGTCTGCCTAGGACATCACCTATCTACTTCAAAGCCCCACTGCCACTATCCTGGACTCCTCAGCATAGTACTCCATGGCCTCCAGTGTCCCCAACCTCTTTGTCATTTGTCCCACCACCACCTAAACCCCTCACAGGAAACTTCACCCAAACACTGCCCCTTCACTCTCTTATCCTGGGGCCTGGTCCAGTCTCTCCACAAGCCCTCCAACCTCTGAGGTAAAAGTCACCTCACCTGCACTAAGTCCTAGCCCTCTGAGTGGCTCTGGGCACTTTCACTTACTATCGTCATCTAGTGGGTCCCTTGCCAATGCCTGGTGCCTACTTCACGCTCAGTGAGTAGAGAAGACAGCAGGAGACTGTTAAGCACCTACTATGTGCCAGTCACAGAGTGAGGCCTTAACGTGTTTCAGAACATTTAATTACAGATGGGTCAGAGTTGGGCCCAAGGTCACAGAGACAGTGCCCCCTGAAAGAGAATGTGGGTGGTGCAGCCAGGCTGAGGAAGGTCCCTCACTCTCCAGGTGGCCAAAGGCACAAGGAGACCAATCAGAGCCTCACACAAGCTCCCCAGCTCATCACCTTGGCGATTCTGGAAGACACACAAAGACTGTTCTCCTTGTCCGAGCTCCTGAGCTCCTCCTTACATTTCACTAGTTCCATCTCCTTGGAAGTGCCCCACAAGGAGCAGGTCTGGCTGGCTGTTGGGACACAATTGCACACAGGATCAGCAAGGACAACAGGCTTCATGGAGACTATCCTGAGGGCCCTCAGGGTACCCTGGTACCATGGAGTGGGCCCCAGGCATTGGCAAGGGGCCTACTAGATGACTATAGTACGTGAAAGTGCCCAGAGCCTGGGCCATGCTCTGGTCTCTGGACGTCACTTCCTCCGCCTTCACACTCACCATCCCTGCTGTCCTCAGGTGCTTCCCACCCCTTCTGCACAGCTCAGATACCTGCTTCATGCCAGGCTCTGCCCTATCACCTGCCAGCCCCATCCTTGGTCTCTGGTACCCTGAGCCCCAACGAGTATTGGCCTCTTGGTGAGTCTCAGCCCTTTGCTCTCCAATCTGGTCATTCTTGTTGGTCCACACACCTGCATGGAGAAGCTGCCCTGCCTGCCCACAGGTCCATATCCACCTCCTCCACCCAGGGTGGGAGGCCACTCCCAAGGCCCCTCTGTACCGTGAAGGTCCAGCAGCCTGGACAGGACGTCCATGGAGGCCACGCGGGTTCTTCGGTGCAGGTCACAGGTGCATGGGGCAATGAGTCCTACCAAGGTGCCAAACTGCCCCAGCTTCAGGGGGATCTGTGGGCAACAGGAGACCTCACCATTACATCCTCTGCCTACTCAGCACAGTGCTGCCTGCGTGGAGGAAGGGGAGCGGCATAAAGGATGGTGCTCACTGGGGAAGGGGAGGGCGTCACCACCTACCTCCCACCCACAGCTCAGCCCCTGGTGGTCAGCACATCCTGGGATCCCTGGTCAGGGCTCAGCCCAGTCACCCATCTGACTCTAGGCCTAGTTTCTTTGTCCAGGCACTTACCTTGTCCCTGTAACTGAGCCCTGGGCTCAAATCTGGGCCCCTGATTACCAGTGGGTGCTCTCAGTGAGGACCCCACCCAGCCTCTCAGTTCCTCATCTTCCTGTCTGAGGTGATAAGAGCACCTCCTCTTTCAGGGAGTGTCATAAGAATTGATTCAGATAGACCAGGTGATGCACTCCACTCAGGCCAAGCCTCAAAGTTTCCTAGATTGGGGGAGGAAGGGCTCTAGCCTCACTTTCTGGTCCCCAGGCCTGGGGTCCTGCCCCTCTGTGCTGGGTTGAATGGTGTCCCCCTAAAATTCATGCTAACTGCAAGCTCAGAATGTGACCTTGTTTGGAATTAGGGTCTTTGCAGTTGCAATTAGTTAAGATGAGGTTGCACTGGGTTGGAGTGGGCTGCTTATGAGAGGAGAGGACACAGAGACAGAGATGCAGAGGGGAGAGGCCACATGAAGATGGAGACAGAGATTGCAGGGACAGGTCTACAAGCCAAAGACTTGTAGGTCAAATGCAGTGCAAGCACTTTGTCAAGGACAAGGAGGACAAGCAAGGACAAGGAGGACAAGCAAAGACAAGGACAGTGCAAGCACTGCCAGCAGCTGCTTAGAGCTAGAAGAGACAAGGAAGGATCCTCCTCTAGAACCTTCAGCAAGAGCATGACCCTGCTGGCACCTTCATTTCAGACTTCTGGCTTCTGCAACTGTGAGGGGAAAATGTCCAAGCCACCCAGTGTGGGATGACTTGTTAAAGTGGCCACAGGACACTTCTACACCTACCTGGTTCTCACCCTTCAGCAGCCCTGAGACCTGCAGCTGCAGCTGCACCCCAGCCCTGGACATGCTACCCCAGCCAGTGGCCACCCCTGAGGACAAGGCAACCAAACAGTGTGGTGCCAACAAATGTGGAAAAACAGGCTCACGAAGCTGTGCCAGGTAGCAAATCAACAAAAACGTTATATTGCTTTTTTGGATTCTGTGATGTGCGTGTCAAACTTTGTAAAATTTGTAATTTTGTGGTGGTTTCTTTTCTTGTTCTAAGTAAATATTCACTTCCTTATCCAGTGTTGTATTGCTAACTATGTACCCTTTTCCTTAAAGAGGATTCCACCACACACTATATGACCCCCAGCCCACAAAACCTGGGGTCACACTGGGGTCCAGCCAACCCCAAGTTGTAATCCAACCCCTTTCTTACCCACCCCAGACCCTGCCACTACCTCATCACAGGCCTTGTTTCCCCAAAGGCCTCTTCCCAAGGGACTCCTCAGGGGACAGAACTCGATTTCAAATGTCCCCTCATCTCACTGTCAGAGGGAAATCTCTCAGTGGGTGTCAGATTGGCCAGCTGAGGGGTCAGGCAAGCCCTCACTCACACAGACGCCCACACTCTGGACATAGAGCTGCATAAGGCGAAGATGGAGGTGCATGGCTTTCTCCCGCTCCCATTCTTTTTCTGACAAGATCCACTTTTCCAGGAGCTGTGGGTAGAGTCCAAAACACAGACAAGGTGAAGTGGGGCATAAAATCCAGATGCAGGCCCTCTCCTGGCCAGCAATTGCCCTCCATGCCTCTCCCCTTCAGAATATGACTTTCAGAGCTTCTCTGTGGTTTCTCCTGGTTTCTTCCAAGGTCCCCCACCCCCAGTAAGGGAGAGCAGGCTGTGGGCAGTAAGACAGTGTCTGCAGCCTCCTCAGCAGGGTGCACCAGGCCTTGCTCAGAATATCTGCCTGCACAGGAAGGTCCAGAAGCGCAAGGCCCTGCACTCTAGGTGCCCCCTATGGGTCTGTTCTATTATGTGACAAAGTTCATTTCCGAAAAGAGACTATTACTAAGGATAAAGAAGGTCATGTCATCAGGATACAGGGTCAATTCATCAAGAAGATATAACAGTCCTAAATCGTTATGCACTCATTACAGTGCTTAACACATAAAGCAAAAACTGATTTTCATCTACAATGATAGTCAGAGATTTCAATACCTCTCTCTCAATAATTGATAAAACGAGAAGACAAAAAATCAGTGAAAAGATATTGAAAACTTGAACATTCAACAGCACAATATTTTTCAAGTTCACACAGAACATTTACCAAGGTAGACCATATCCAGGCAGCAAAATAAGTCTCAGTAAATTTAAAAGGATTCAAAATATGCAAGGTATGTTGTTAGACAGAGGGGAGGGGAATTAAAATGTATTTGGAAATTAAATGAGAAGGGAAAATAAAATTAGACCATAACATAAAACTGTGTGGGATACACCAAAAAAAGAACTAAGTTGGTGAATTTAGCACTACCTGACTTTAAGACTTGTATCTTATTATCAAGGTAGTGCGGTATTGGTGTAAGATAGAGAAATACATCATTGGAGCAGAATAAGGGTCCAGAAACAGAATACATAAAAACAAAATATAAAACCTCTGAAAACTCAATAATGCACAGCCAAGAGATTTTCAATTGTGCACAAAGGTATAAATGTGATTCAGAAGAAAAAGTAGTCTTATCAACAAATAGTGATGGGGACAATAAGATATCCTTGTGCAAAAAAAAAAAAAAAGAACTTTCATACTGTTTTGGTCTGGTAGCATAGTGCCTAAGGCATTTGACTGCTAACCAGAAGTCTGGTGGTTCAAACCCACCAGCCACTCCTCAGAAGGAAGATGGGGCAATCTACTTCCATAGTGATACTGCCTCAGAAACCCAAGGAGGGGTCACTATGAGTCGGGTCCGACTCGACGGCACATAACAACGAAAACAGTGTCGCTCTAACAGAAAATACCAAAAATGGGATGGCTTCAACAAACAGGAGTTTATTCTCTTACAATTTGGAGGCTAGAAGTCCGAGCTTCCAGTGCCAGGCTGTAGGGGCTGGGTGAAAGCCTCTCGACCTTGGGCTTCAGCTCTGCCTCTTGTTCACAGCCTACTGAAGCTAGAGGTATCTCTTCACTCAGGAAGCTACTGGCTGTGGAGGCTAACAAGCCCAAGGTCAACAAATGAAATGGCACAGTCCTGATATCACCAACCACATGGCAGTTCATTCATTCAAGTTCATTGAAAGCCCCAAGATTGGCAGAGCATGGCAGACTGCTGAATGAAGACTCAGCTACATGCAGGGTCCAAGCATGCCAAAAAGCTGAAGCCCATTCCCAAAGCTTCTCCTTTTATATGGGAAGTAAACCATATCCCTAAACCAGCTACTCAGCGGCTCACAGGAGATTCCACCATGGAGTTGATTGCCAGTCTCATCATGGAGAATAACTACCACCAGCTGTCCACCCACTCAAAACCCGGCCCAGCCAAATTGACATATAACCTTAACTACCACACATCCATGCCTCACACCATATACAAGATTAACATATAGTATATGATAGACCTAATTGTAAAACCTGAAACTCCAAAACTTCTAGTAGAAAGTCTCCATAACTTTGGGTTAGGCAAGGATTTCTTAAATATAACACCAAAGCCCAATCCATAATGTTTTTTGATTGCTTTTTTTGTAAAAGATAAATTAGACTTCAGCAAACTTAAAAACTTGCAAGGATTTCTTAGATATAACACCAAAGCCCAATCCATAATTTTTTTATTGCTTTTTTTTTTTTTAAAGATAAATTAGACTTCAGCAAACTTAAAAACTTGGTGATTGTACAACATAATTACTACCACTGATTGTAAACCTAAAATCACAAATTTTTATGATATTTTGCCACAGTCAAATAAATAAATATTTTAAAAGATGCTTAATTAAAAATGTCTGTCTTCAAAAGGAACTGTTAAATTAATGAAAAGACAAGCCACAAGCTTGGGAAAAAAAATATTTGCAAATCACAAATATGATAAAGGACTTGTATCCAGAAAATATAAAACCTCTGAAAACTCAATAATATGAAAGAAAACAATCCAATTGAAAAGCAAAACTGGCCATTATCCTTCAAAGATGCCAAAGTTACGAAGGACAGAGAAAGACTGGAGAACTAGCCCAGACTGAAACAGCCTAAAGAGACAGGACATCTAAATGTTATGCATAAGCTAGATTGAATCCTGGATCCCGGTGGGAATTACTATAAAGGGTTAATGAGTGAGATTTGAATATGGACCCTGGATTACAATGTTTCATTATCTTAAAAAAACTATGCTAATTTTCCTAATTTTGATTATTTTCCTGTTATTAATGAGAGAATCATCTTGTTTCTCCTCTTTGCAACAGCTCTCAATGGTTCAAAAAATTGTGTGTGGAGAGAAGGAAAGAAAGGAGGAGGAGGAGGTAAAGGTGGAAGAAGAAGAGAGAAGGAGAAGGGAGAGAGAAAGAAAGAAAATGTAGCAAAATATTAAAAATTGATGAATCTGAGTGAAGGATATATGGACGCTCTTTGTACTATTCTTGTAACTTTTCAGAAAATTTGAAATTTTATCAAAATATAAAGTTACTGTTCATGATTGAGTGATGTCCTCTGAAAATTTATGTTGAAGTCCTAGTCCCTGGTACCTGTGAAGATGACCTTGTTAGGAAACAGGGTCTTTGAAGATGTTATCAGTTAAGTGAACATGAAATCATACTGGAGTAGGATGGGTCTTCATCCTATATGAGCAGTGTCCTGTAAAAGAAGAGAATAGATCTAGAGAGACAGATGG